CTGAATAATCTTAGAGGCAGATTCTTCTATGGGAGTAAATGAGGTTATGCAAAAAACCTTATGCCCCTACACAGAGGTAAGATAGTAGAGGTATTATATCAAAAATTCCTGGGGCCCCAGGGTGGCTCAGTCAGTTAAGCATCCAACTCGTGGTGTTAGCTCAGATCATGATCTCAGGGTTTGTGAGATTGAGCCCCATGCCAGAGATCCCTGCTTGGGATTCTGTCTCTCCCTTTCTCTCTTGCCTTCCTACTCATGCACATGTATGCACAGGCACTCACTTGCTTTCAAAATAAATAAATAAACCTAAAATATGTTTTCTATATAATAACAAAAACTGTATCCAAGGCTCATAAGTAGCCTGCTTATTAGAAACAATAAAATTCCATGCTAACAAAAATGTTGATATTTCCAAGAGTATGTTGTCATTCAAGTTTTCCTAAACTATTTCAGACTGCCAGGGAGAAGAAGTATTAACGGGCATGAAGTGATCAAAAATTAACTGAATTCAGAGAGAAAAGGCAAGTCAGATTTTGTAATTCTGATAACAGCACATTTAGCTGAGGGAAGAGGACTCAGAAAAAAAAAGGTGAAAATTGATTATTATAAAATAATGGTAATATCCTTAAACTCTTAAATTCTGTTTTGAAAAAGTTTTTATTTTAACTTCAGTTAGTTAACACAGTATTATATTAGTTTCAGGTATACAGTATAGTGATTCAGCAATTCCATACATCACTCAGTGTTCATTACGAGTGCACTCCTTAATCCCCATCACCTGTTTAACCTGTCCTCACACCCCAGCCCCTCCCCATAAACTCTTAAATTCTTAAAAAAACTCTTCGATTGGAAGTTACATCTTTGAGGGATGCCTGGGTGGCTCAGTTGGTTAAGTGTCCAGGACTCTTGATTTTGGCTCCAGTCATGATCTCATGGTTCCTGAGATCAAGCCTCACATTGAGCTCTGCACTGACAGCGTGGAGCCTGCTTGGGATTCCGTTTCCCTCTCTCTCTGCCCCTCCCCGCTCACGTATGTGCTCTCTCTCAAAATAAATAAAAAACATATAAAGAAAAAAAAGTTACATCTTTTTTTTAAATATGTTTTTATTTATTTTTGAAAGACAGAGACAGAGTGCGAGTTGGGGAGGGTTAGAGAGAGAAGGAGACACAGAATCCGAAGCAGGCTCCAGGCTCTGAGCTGTCAGCACACAGCCTGATGTGCGGCTCAAACTCACGAACCGTTGAGATCATGACCTGAGCCGAAGTCGAATGCTTAACTGACTGAGCCACCCAGGCGCCCCTAAAGTTACGTCTTTGATTAAGAAGGAGATGCAGTCCAGAATGGAGACAGAACCAATATGATTTCAAGTCATTTTATAGCCTGGAGAATAAAGGGATTGTGTTTAAGAAGTCCATATCCTTGGAGATGATAAATAATCAGAGTGCTGGGAAAGATCTATGACCAGAGCCTGTTAGACACTACTTGGGCTTTGCCCTTTGAGCAGGGGCTCTCATTGTGTAGTCACACTGTCTAGAATGCTGGGGAAGGGTGAGGTAATTGGAAAAGCAGCTGTGAAACAGATGATCGTTGACTAAAGCAGAAAGGCGGCAGCAGCATCACCCCTGCAATTGCCTGACCATAGCCAGGGTCCCTGCACATTCATCTCCAGATGGAGACTTGTTTCAGCTATTCACACACAGAGTTGCAAAGGATATATTTATGAGTCCACATGGAGGTGAGTGTCTCCTTTCTTTTCGTATTTTTTATTCTACCAAGAACATTTACATTCACATACTTTGAAAATGAATGAGACACCCACAACCAAGTGTTGCTCCAAATAGGGCGCAGGACTCTTGGCCCATGAATAGTTGAGTCGTTACATAATTTGAGGCTTATAATGGGGAAGTAGGGGCTGAGATCTCCCTAAAAAATTGAGGTCTTGTAGGGATCCAGTTTTAACTCTGAATTTCTCCAGATTAAGAAATGGTTACAGAGTTACGTTTCCCTTTCTGTTATGTCTCCCTTTTCATCATCCTTCTTCTGAACTTCCCTGACAGCTAACTATCCTACCCGCCCCTCCTCCCCCCCCCAGCCCCATGCTCTCATTATCAATTACGTAGCTTTGGGAGGTCCTGCTAACCTTAGGGCCACAGTGTTACCTGGTTTTTCCCTCCATCCTCAGTAGCATAACTGAAACCAAACTGGAGTATTTTAGCAAAACTTTACTGAAGGCTCCGGCAACCTGATTGTGAAGCTGACAAATTGTTGCAGTCTCTTCAACTTGGGTTCTCCTGTAGCGTCATCCATTTGGCAGGACCCAGCTTCTTCCTCTTTATTCCTTCTCTCAAGAAGTAAAACATGGGGGGAGGGGGAGGTATTAAAACACAAGAGAGATCAAAGCCTTCTTGAGTTCCTTTTCTGAATCTGTCAGCTCCCAGAAGGAAACAAAATCTTAAAGTTAGTGTACATTCCTTCTCTAAGTATTATGTTTTAAATGTATGTATATAAACATGCAATCTATGTAATGTTGCTTTTTAAAAAATCTATGTAAGCGATACATACATACCCTTTTGCATTTCTACTCAGCATTATGTTTTTAAGATTTTATCTGTATATTAATGCTTCTAGTTCATTTTAATCTGTATTTCATTATATGAATAGATCATTATTTATCAGTTTTCCTATTGATGAATATTTAGGCTATTTCCAATTTTTTTGACATTATAAATAAGGCTGCAGTGTATCTGTCTGTATATATCCTTTTGTGTGTGTGACTGTGTTTGAGAATTTCTTTAGATTACACCTATAAGTAAAACTGCTGTAGGATAGATACCTCTTAGCTTTACTAGAGATTACTAGATTGTTCTACAGAGTAGTTTTTCTAGTTTGCATGCCTACCAACAGTGTATGAGAGTTCCTGTTTCTCTGTATCTTGGTCAACACTTGGTGTTACCTAACTTTAAAATTTTTGCCACCTGGTGTATGTGAAATGGCATCTCATTAAATTTAATTTGCACTTTCCTGGCTGCTAATAGAGTTAATGTCTTTCTCCTCAGTTTTCTATCATGGTTTCCTGTTTATTTCTTTCATAGCACTTATCACATACTATTATTATGGGTTGGTTGATTTGTGCGTTCATTGCCTGCCTTCCTGTCTAGAACATAATCTCTGTGAGAATAAGGATCACATCTCTCTTGTTCACTTTTATCCCCAGACCTTGGTCCAGGGTCTGGTCATTAGGGATTCAGTAAATAGTTGTTTAATGAAGAAACTTGATAGTGGTAGGGGTGAGGGGTTCCTCAGTACTTCTGATATTACTACAAGAGAAATGCTCATGTAGTAACAGGAATTTATTTCTTTATATTCATCTCTTCTAAACCCTATACGTCATAGGCAGTTTGAAGTATCTGATTCTTTCCTTCATTTCTTACATCCCCTTTCCAAGTGTTTTGAATAGGCCTGAATAGGAAATAGAGAAATACAGAAACAGTCACTCATGACTTGATTTGATAGAGATTATCTGCTCCAGCCTGGGGCTTATGATACTATGATACACTGATACTGAATTAGCCTGTGACTATTTTGTGCCCCACATCAGAGAAGAAACCAGAGTTCTGATGAGGTTCATAATTTGATAGGAAATTAAGTTGGAAGCCCTTTGCCTTTGCTGGGGTTCTTATTGACAGTTAATCTTATCCTAGCTACATCTTATCTACTATAAGACTGTCTGAGATAGGTGAGGACTTCATCAGCAAAAATTCACTAGGCTAGACATAATAGTTTTTTATTTTTGAGAAATACAGACATCGAAGAGGACTAGAATAAACCTCAGTGGCTTTTCTACAGTTCCTTTCTTTTCTACCCAGTCACTCTTAGTGCTGGTCCTAGCTCCAATTGCATCTTGTTCGAGCTTTGTTTAGTTCCTGAGCTCTGTTCTGACTACATCTTGAACTCTACTCTTTGACTTGGTTAGGATTCTTTGGGGGTGCAGGAAACAAACCCACCCAAGCTAGCTTGAACCAGAGGTAATTCAGGAATGTCTCAGAAATTAAGACCATATACAGCTAGAACCAAGAATTAGAGCAGTGGAAATGTTTACTAAAAGCTCCCAAGTCTGCTTCTCTTTTCAAGAGAAGAACCAAATTGAGGATAAAATCTCTTAGTCCCAGTTACAAATTCTCAGGGAAGGATACATACCCCCCATGGACCAGATGCTCACCTCTCTTCAGTAAGCCATGACCATAAGGTTACATCCTACAAACTTGGCAGCCAAGAGCCTCCTGTAATGTATGGGTGACACAGGAGAGCAGCTGCCAGGAAAGGGAAGGGATTTTAGGCAGACACACCCATAAGTATCTACTGAACTTATTAGTTGCTGAATATGAGGTTAGAGGCTCTGAAACATCTGGCTTTTACCCAGCAGTTCCTTCATATTTTCTGCTTCCTTTCCTTCCCCCATGTCTTACCTGGCTCCTTACCCAGCTTGCTGATCTTTTAAAAGCTACTTGCAAGTGTATTCTCAACAGATCCCTGACTTGCCTCATTTAAAATAGTGAGCTTTAGGAGCGCCTGGATTGGCTCAGTCGGTTAAGCAACCAACTCTTGGTTTCAGCTCAGGTCGTGATCTCACGACTTTTGGGTTTGAGCCCCATGTGGGACTCTTTCCTGGCAGCACTGAGCCTGCTGGGGATTCTCTCTCTCCCTCTCCCTGCCCCGCCCCTGCACACTCTAAAATAAATAAACTTAAAAAAAAAAAAAAAAAAGATAGTAAGCTTTGTGGATGAGAAGGTGTATTTTTCCCCTCATTTGTTAGTTTATCTGGAAGGAATTAGAAAGTAGGAGTATGCTATATAGTATAACATGTCTCCAGTGTGCTTATGGTTCAGTGATATATCCTGCCCCAGCTAGTGAGAAATAGCAATAAATAGGTATTGTGGAACTTCAGCCATCTGGGAAGTACATTCTGCCTTTGCTGAGACAATACATTGTCTTGTTACAGGAACATGACATAGAAACAACTCACGGTGTGGTTCACGTCACCATCAGAGGCCTCCCAAAGGGAAACAGACCAGTTATTCTGACATATCATGACATTGGCCTCAATCGTATGTATTTGATTTTATACCTTCCTTTTTTATTATAATAATTAATCTTTGTATATTTATTTTTAAAAAGAAGAAACCCCAGTATTCTAACAGAGCACAGGTTTTCTCCTCTCTGGCTTAACCTTCCCTCCTCATTGTTACACATATTAGTGCAGGGTTGAAGTGTCTGGGAAGTGTGCAGGAAAATGCGTTTGGGGGATACTGGAATTATATCTCACCTTTGTGTCTTAACTGGTAAAGGATGAACTGGTTAAGGGCAGAACTGAGAGGCACTTGGCTGGCTCAGTCAATAGAGCATGCAGCTCTTGGTCTCAGGGTCATGAGTTCAAGCCCAACGTTGGGCATAATAATATTATTATTAAAAAAATAATAATAATAAAGTGTGTCTTTAAAAAAAAAAAGAGTAGAATAGAAATCAGTTGTTTGTTTTGTTTAAGTCTATACTTCTTTGGTTTTTTTCAACTTAACTTTGTTGTGAGCCCTTCAATGAATTAGTGAAAGTGTTCTTCCTATAGCCTGTCATCAGTGATTTTAAGTGGACTTCTCTAGATAGTAATAAGATTCTGGCTCTAGCCACAGGCTCAGAGCCTGTACATGTGTATGTTTTTCTCCCATGCTTCTCTGGCTTTCAGAGGTGGCCTACATTTATTTGAGGCTACAGTTTAGTGCTGGAGCTTTTGTAGCCCCTTAAGCATGAGAAGTGATTCAAGCAGTTATACTAACAGGGTAGAAATTAAAGCAGCAGCCCATCTCTACACTGCAGCAATTTTTCCAAGGGACAGTCTTCCACATGGTGAATGTGAGTAGCCCAGGATATTTACTCTAGCCACATTCTTGGAATATAGTCAGCGTCTCTGTGTCAGATGGGGGAATAAGGTACATGAGAAATGACAGCATGATGGGTGCAAGATTATTTTGTGCAATACCAGAATTGGTTTCCATTTTTTAGACACTGTAGAATTGAGAATTCAGTGTCGTTTTCAGGTCATTGGGATGTCTGGTATTCAGCCTTTAGGGCAGCTTGAATCACATTGTTCTGACACCTCATTTTGGTGGAACAGTGAATAAAAGGAGTGAAAGAGAACAATGATATGGAATTAATTGAGTTGAAGAAAACTGGAGAGAAATGAAGAGGACTGTATGGACACTCCGTTGAAAATTGGGGAGAGAGAGAGTCTGTGACTTATGAGTATTTTTATTCTTGCAGATAAATCCTGTTTCAATGCATTTTTTAACTTTGAGGATATGCAAGAGATCACCCAGCACTTTGCTGTCTGTCATGTGGATGCCCCAGGCCAGCAGGAAGGTGCACCTTCTTTCCCAACAGGGTAAGGCCACAAGCAAGACCTTCTAGAAGCCATGCATTCAGAAGAGCAAATGATTGAGCTACAGTGGGAGAAGTAGCATTGATTTCTCCTGTTGATTTTAGCACAGGCTGTGGTTATACTTATCAACCAACTATCCTCTTTCTTTCCTTGCTCTGAGAGGACTGTTGCATACAATCTGTTGAGGGAAACTGCATATTTTCCTATGTCCCTGAATGGTTCTCCATAGATGGGAATCTGTCACCTTGTAATTGCAAGGCTTAAGTGTCTGAAACACCCACATGTCACTGTCTTTTATCTGTCCCCTTCCTCATCTTTTTAAAATGTCATTTCTGTGTCCCTCCCTAAAACTTCCAACTACCTAGAACAAATTCCAATCCATCTGTACTTCCTGGGAGCACCTCCCCAACCTTACCTCCCAGTCTAGTGATGGGAATTTGAATATTTTTGTAAGCATTTATTCTGAGAAGCTGCCCTGGAGGTCTTGGCCTCATCCTAAACCTGCTTTGCATGGTGGAACCGCAGTCTCCCTCACTCTTCCATGGACATTGTAATTATGGAAAAGACCTTGGAAGGGGGAGTGAAAGCACAAGCTGTGAAATTACAGATTCTTCCCCTTTCCCTTGGCTCCTCTCCAGAGCTGCCTCTGCCAGGGACTGATGTGAAATAGACCATTGCAGGTAAAAAATAACCAACACTTACATTGGACTTAAACAGCATTCCTGACATTGCTTTAAACGCTTCATATCTGTTAAGTCATTTAACCCTCACAGAACTATGGGATAGATTTACTATTATTCCTGCTGTACAGTCAAGGAAACTGAGGCCCAGGGATATTAAGTAACTTTGCCAAGATCCCATAACAAATACGTAGCAGAGCTGGAATTTTAACTGAGGCAGTCTGGCTCCAGAATCCATGTTATTGACATGTTCGGGCTGTTCTGTCTCTCAGATGCAAATTGACCAATGACCAGTTTATATCCAACAAGATTTATATCTGGTTCCTTTTTTCTGTTTTGTGTACAAATGGCTCAACAGCACTCCATCACTTAAAAAGTGTTTCAGGCAGAGGCAGGCTGATTCCCCTGTCACATATAGAGTAGATCCTAGATTGTCTTAAGGTCTCTTTCCATCTTTGATTCTGTAATCTTTATGGATGCTCCCTTCTTTTCTTGGGTTCCTAGTCTGAATCGGTTCCTGGCCTTGCTTGACCATCTTAGGATCATGTAGTTCATATCATACACCAAATTCAAAAGCAATAAAGTAACCACATTATCTTATGTCTAAGTAAAACAAATCAGCATTCATGATGAGGAGTCTAGGATATGGAATGATATTTCCAGAAGCCCTGGACCAAATGAGCAAGTAGGAGAAAGGCATGAAGTGAAATTTGAGAAATAGACAAGGGTCCAATGTGGTTAGGCCCAGTAAAGCTTTGTTTATTTTTGCCTTTAGCTGCCTGATTATAAGCCCCAGACCAAAAGCCACCTCCTCAATTGGCTGTTATTGCTGGAAGTTTGCTGAGCCTCAATCCCAGTTGAAGTGATTGTTAGGGATTTGGAAATGCCTTCAGAGAGAGCCATATTACCTGTTCTGTTCAAATGGCTTCTTCTGGTCCCAGAGACTGCCCTTTAGAAAATAGAAACACATAGATTCTTCTCCTTTCTTCTCAGCATGGAAGTCTTAGAGAGAGACACAGCATGTCACAGTCATTTCCACACATCATCTCCTTTCTGCCTTTGGTAAAGGGAATGCTTTTCTCTAAGAACCCCATACTCTTCTGGCTGTTCTTGTGATTGGGAAATGTGGGTGCATTCTAATTCAGGAGGTATCCTTCTGGATTTCAGGTACCAGTACCCCACAATGGATGAGTTGGCTGAAATGCTGCCTCCTGTTCTTACCCACTTAAGGTAGGTTCATTCTGCAGTTCCTTAACACAGTGTTTATTGAATTTCTACCATGTGTCTGATCTAGGGACTACGATGGTGAACAAATGGAATAGTCACTGTCCTCACAGAGCCTACTTACATTTTAGTGGGAGGAATAATTAACAACAAATAAGCAAATAATCACAACTAAAGTGTTGTAAGAGAAGTCAGTGAGGGTGATGCCTTAGAGAAGGGCTAGGTTTACAGAGATAAGGCTAGTTGAGCAATGCCTCTCTAAGAACATGTCTAGGCCAGTACCTAGACAGAGAGCCAGGGCAAGAGGATTCCAGACAGAAGGAATAATATTTCCAGAAGTCCTGGACCAAATGAGCAAGTAGGAGAAAGGCATGAAATGAAATTTGAGAAATAGACAAGAACCCAATTACATAGTCTCACAGATCAGGTAAGAATTGGGGATTTTATTCAAAAGACAAAAAAAAAATACTGAAAAGTTTTAAGTAGGGGAGTGATACCCAATTTAGTCTTTTTTTTTTCTTTCAGGTATAGAATTTAAAAATGGGTTAGATAAGAATGTGCATTAATTTTGCCTTTTTTTTTTTTTAATTTTTTTTTTCAACATTTATTTATTTTTGGGACAGAGAGAGACAGAGCATGAACGGGGGAGGGGCAGAGAGAGAGGGAGACACAGAATCGGAAACAGGCTCCAGGCTCTGAGCCATCAGCCCAGAGCCTGACGCGGGGCTCGAACTCACGGACCGCGAGATCGTGACCTGGCTGAAGTCGGACGCTTAACCGACTGCGCCACCCAGGCGCCCCTTGCCTTTTTTTTTTCAGTTTAGTCTTTTAAATGGTCACTCTAGGTATTAAATTGCATTTCAGTAAAGCTGTTTATATTTTTTAAAAGGATTACTCTAGAGGCGCCTGGGTGGCTCAGTCGGTTAAGTGTCAGGCTTTGGCCCAGGTCATGATCTCACGGTTCGTGGGTTTGAGCCCCGTGTCAGACTCTGTGCTGACATCTCAGAGTCTGGAGCCTGCTTCAGATTCTGTGCCTCCCTCTCTTTCTGCCCCTCCCCTGCTCCTTCTCTGTCGCTGTCTCTCAAAAATAAATAAATGTTAAAAATAATTTTTTTAATAAAAAAAAGAATTAGTCTAGCTGTGGGGAGAATGAGTTGGAGAAGAGTAAAAAAGAAAAAGCAGGAGACCATTAAACTATTACAGCAGTCAGGCAAGAGACAACTAGATACTGAATGCCTGGGGCTGGAGTGAAGTATATAGAGATAGATGGAAATATGTTGGAGGTAGACTCTTTGGACTTACTGTTAGGTTGAACATAGAGGTGATAGGAGAGGGAGCTATTAGAATGACTCCAGGTTTTAGTCATATTTCACTTAACCCTTAAAATCAACTTAGAAATAGGTGGTTATATCCTTTTATAGATTGGGAACTGAGGCTCAGAAAGTTAAAAAAAACTTGACCAGCTTCTAGAACCCAGTAAGCATCAGAGCCAGATTTGAACCCAGTTGTATTTTTTCCATTATGCCATGTCCCCTCCAAGTGAGTTAATCTTATCAGTGTTGGTATGTCCCCTTTCACAGTCTGAAAAGCATCATTGGGATTGGAGTTGGAGCTGGAGCTTACATCCTCAGCAGATTTGCAGTAAGTACAGAGGATTAGTCCTGCTACCCTTGAGGCACTGCCTAGGTCACAGCTCTACTGCTTTGTTAGTGACCAGATACTACTGTGGGTCTTATGTCAGTTTTTCTGTAAATTCTGTCAACAACAGAAAAAGGTTTGTAGAAAGCCCTGTTTTGTACTTACAGTACCTGAAAAATCACAAATGAGGGCAGGGTATCATCAATAAAACGTAATTCTTAGAGAACATGTATGGAATTTTGTGAAGCCATTAAAATTTTATAAGAAGAGTTTGTAATGATATGTGATTCACATATACTGTAACATTAACAAAAAAATTAAAATACAGATTCACCATAGTTTGTGATAGACATAGGAAAGGACTAGAGGGAAGTATACCAAAATATTAATTAACAGGGACTGATGTTGTGTGGTTAGATAATACAAGTTTTTATTTCCTAATTTTTGTAATTTCTGTTTATCAGATTTTCTTTTTTTTTTTTTTTAATTTTTTTTTTTCAACGTTTATTTATTTTTGGGACAGAGAGAGACAGAGCATGAACGGGGGAGGGGCAGAGAGAGAGGGAGACACAGAATTGGAAGCAGGCTCCAGGCTCTGAGCCATCAGCCCAGAGCCTGACGCGGGGCTCGAACTCACGGACCGCGAGATCGTGACCTGGCTGAAGTCGGACGCTTAACCAACTGCGCCACCCAGGCGCCCCTATCAGATTTTCTATAGTGAGCATAATCAGTGTAATCAGAGGGAAAGGAAGTAAACTGGAGAGTTTTGAGTGTAAATAGAAATGTCTGTGTTGATTTCTATTTAAGAAACAGAAATTAAGAAATTTTTTCAGGGTGGGTGCCTGGGTGGCTCATTTGGTTAAGCATCCAACTCTTGATTTCCGCTCAGGTCATTATCTCACGGTTATGAGATCAAGCCCACACTGGGTGTGGAGTCTGCTGAAAATTCTCTCTCTCCCTCTCCCTCTGCTCCTCCCCTGTGCACACTTGTGTGTGCTCACTCTCACACACACTCTAATTACTTACTTACTTACTTACTTAGTTAATTCAAGGGTGCCTGGCTGGCTTAGTCAGTAGAGCTTGTGACTCTTGATCTTGGGGTTGTAAGTTCAAACCTCACGATGGGTGTAGTGATTATTTGAAAATAAAATCTAAAAGGGGCATCTGGGTGGCTCAGTCAGTGAAGCGTCCAACTTCGACACAGGTCATGATCTCACAGTTCACGAGTTTGAGCTCCGCATCAGGCTCTTTGCTGACAACTCAGAGCCTGGAGCCTTCTTCAGATTCTGTGTCTTCCTTTCTCTCTCCCCCTCCCCTGCTCATGCTCTGTCTGTCTCTCAAAAGTAAATAAAAACATTAAAAAAAATTTTTTTAATAAATATAAAATCTAAAAAAAATTTTTTAAAAGAAATGTTTTTCAGATGCCTCCTGGGTGATAGGACAGTCTTTTGGGGTAGGGTGGTATCACCCATTCAGGTGCTTTCTGGGGGAAGAACAAAAAACAAAAAAAACGTAAGAAGCTCCTATTGGAGTCAAGGCTATATGAATGTGAAATTCTCCAGTCTAAGCCTCAGCAGCCCCTTATGCCAAGTAATTCCAAGGGTACTTTCCCAGCAGGGAGAACCCACCATGAGCTAAACAACTGCAGAGATACTACCAGGTGCCTTCCTCTGATGAGGAAATAAATATCATGTCTCCTCACAGATCCTTGCCAGGCAAGATCATTTCATAGCATTTTAAGGAACTGGTTTTCCAGATGTTAAGTCAGACTTAAAGAGCAATTTTTCCAAATATTCTGCACCTAGCACCTCTCTGAAGTCTTACTTTCAAATCTGAGGCATTATGGCATAATACATAAGAATTGATTAACCATGCTCCAGTGTTTATAGAAGAATGCTGGGAGTGGAACTTTCAAACTGTTGTCTTTGTCTATTTCAGCTCAATCATCCAGAACTCGTGGAAGGCCTTGTGCTCATTAACGTTGACCCTTGTGCTAAAGGCTGGATTGACTGGGCAGCTTCCAAAGTAAGCACTAAATGGTATTCATTGGGTCATCTCTCGGTCCCCTCTCAAAATGTCTTATTTTTATTTTTATTTTTTCACTGAAGTGTATACAGTCAAAGGCAAAAAGTTTTAAGTATATAATTTCATGAATGTGTGCATGTATAATTGCCACCCAATCAATATGCAGAATATTTCCAGCTCCAAGGATTCCCTTATGCCTTTGCTTTAATTAATACTTATTCTCCTTCCCAGACACAACTGTTTTCTGACTTCTATCACCATAGATTGGTTTTCTCTATTCTTAAACTTCATATAATTAGAATGATAGAATATGTATTCTTTTGTATCTGGCTTCTTTCATTCATAGTGATTCTTTTTCATGTTGTGTGTAATGGTAGTTCTTTTAATTCTTGTTTAGTAGTCTATGGTATAAATACACAAAATAAGTTGTTTGTTATTTGGTTATTATGAGTAAAGTTCCTGTGCACATTCTTTTACCTGTCTCTCCATAGACCTACACATTCATTTCTCCTGGGTCTCTAGGAGTGGAATTGATGGGTCATAAGGCAGCTGTATATTTAGCTTTGGTAGATACGGACAGTGTTCCACAGTGTTTGGCCAGTTTACACACCAGCAATACATGAAAGTTCCAGTTGTTCCACCTCTTCCCTAACATTTGAAAGTCATTTTAATTTTTGTAAAAGATGAGCAGTTTTATTTGTAATACTAGCTTGTTTCTATATGGCACCCATCAGCAAAATAGGTTTAGTTATTAAAAAACAATTTTTAATTATACCATCTTTCTTATTTTAAGCAATGCTTATGGGGAAATAATGCCGGGTTTTAATTTGCATTTCCCTCAGGGCCTATGATGCCAGACAGAGCACCTTTTCTAAAACTTAGTGGCCATTTCAGTATCCTCTAAGGAAGTGACTGGTCAAGTCTTTTGCCTTTTTTTCCCCCTTAATCAGGTTGCTAGTCTTTTTCTTGATCTGTAAGAGTTCTTTCTACATTTTGTGTCTGAATCCTTTGGTGGATACATGTAAATATCTTCTCCCAATCTTTGGTTTTCATGTTCACTGTTTTCATGAGTGAAACGAACGAATGAATGAATCTCTTCACTAAACCGCAAATAACTTGTCCATGCCACTGCTCCCAAAGATTGGTGGGATTGAAGATGTGTGCCATCTGAAAAAATGAAGATATTTGCTATTTAGATAGAGTGTTATCTAAAATCTGTTCAAGGAGATAGGAATCTACAGGAGTACATGCTAATGACTTTACAAATATAAACAATCCCAGCAACAACCAGAGTGAAAAGAGGGAATAAGGGTAAAAGCATATTATTAAATAACATTTGCATTGAAATGACCTGTGCTGAAAAGGTCATTTGCTGTTTTTAGGTTAGAAAAGGAAGCAGCTTTGAAACACTTTTCCCTACCAAAGTACAAATGTTATTTGTATGTTATTTTAACCTAAAACTATGAGGTTTGGGGGCACCTGGATGGCTCAGGCAGTTAAGCATCCAACTTTTGATTTTGGATCAGGTCATGATCTCAAGATTTGTGAGATCTAGCCCTGTGTCAGGCTCTGCACTGATAGCATGGAGCCTGCTTGAATTTCTGTCTCTCCCCACTCTCTCTGCTCCTCCCCTGCTTTTCTGTCTCTGTCTCTCTCAAAATAAATAAACACTGAAAATACATATAATAAATAAATAAAACTATGAGGTTTAGACTAAATCAGTGATGTTATAAAGTTTTCCAGAGAAGAAATAACCCAAGCTTTCATTACTTGCTAAAAGATGCCTAATGTAACAATCTCATTTTTAAATAAATATCTGCTTCTGAGTATTTTTAACTTGCCATAAACGTTCATTCTGATCCACCACTGGAGATAGGCTCCAAAATACCACTCCCCAGCTTGTCACATGTATTAAGAGCCTTTATTGGTACTCAACCATGAGATCCAGTAATTCAATATCTAGGAACTTATCTGAAGGATAAGTAGTGATATCTACAAAGATTTAAATAGAAGGATAATAATTTCTTAAGAATCTAATACATGTCTAGTATTTGCTACATAGCAGGCACTATTCTTAAATGTTTTCTCTATGTTTAAATTTTTCATTTTCAGGACAGCCCAGTGAAGTGGTCCTATTCTTATCCCACAGAGAAATTAAGCCATTTGCTTAAGGTCACAGCTAGGAAATCACAGAGCCAAAATATTCATTAAAGCATAGGGCAAAAAGATGGAAACAACCTAAGTACCAATACTGTAGAGCCATAAAATTGTGACACAACCATAGAATGGAATATCCTGCAACCAAAAATTTATTTGGTTATTTAAAGAAATGAGAAAATTCTCAATACTTAAAAAATAGATGAAACTATATATGTCCCAATTTTGTTACATAGATATGCATTCGAAAAGAGGGAAAGTAATTTGGGGCACCTGGCTGGCTTGTCAGTAGAAGATCCGACTCCTGATCTTGGGATTGTGAGTTTGAGACCCATGTTGGGTGTAGAGATTACTTTAAAATAAATAAATAGAGGGGCTCCTGGATGGCTCAGGCGGTTGAATATCCAACTTTGTCTCAGGTCATAATCTCACGGTTTGTGAGTTCGAGCCCCGCATCGGACTCTGTGCTGACAGCTCAGAGCCTGGAGCCTGCTTCAGATTCTGTGTCTCCCTCTCTCTCTGTGTCTCCCCCTCCCCATTGTGCTCTGTCTCTCTCTGTCACTCAAAAATTAAAAAAAAAAACAGAGAAAGAAAAAGAAACGTGAGACTTACCCACTATATTAAAAAAAAAAAAAAAAAGGAAAAATAATTGGTTACTAGTAGTTGTGTCTTTGGCTGGTAGCATTACAGATGACTTATTTTCTTTTTTATTTCTATATTTTCCTAATTTTCTATGATAAGCATGTGTTGCTTTTATATTACTTTAAAATATTAAAATATTCCACCTACTGAAATTTAAGAAACAAAACAAACGAACAAAGGAAAAAAAAGAGAGACAAACCAAAAAACCAAAAAATAGACTCTTAACAGAGAACAAACAGATGGTTACCAGAAGGGAAGTGGGGGGTGGGGGTGGCGCGGGAAGGGGAATGGGTGAAATAGGTGAATAAGATTAAGAGTACACTTACCGTGATGAACACTGAGTAATATATGGAATTGTTGAATCATTATATTATACACCTGAAACTAATATAACACACTGCATGTTAACTATACTAGAATTAAAATATATTCCACCTGCCAGTAGAGTAGATTCTAAAAAATTTATCCATTTCTCCCCACTTTTTAAGTTCTAGAGAAATTTGCATACTTTGGATGAAACGTATTAACGATGCTATTGCCAGATGCAGGGGAAATTCTTTCTTACAACCTTATTTAAAATTTGTTCTCATTCCTGTCTAATTACATGGGTATGTTAAGATTGACCTGAACATTCTCAGTAATGTATAATAAATTATGTGTAATAACCTAATAAAATTGTTAAAAGCTTGAGAACGATCTTATGAGTATTAAACATGTAATGAGATTGGTTGTTAATTCTAATTATCTTTAATTTATGACCATTGGATCATTAGTAACCCCTATGAAGATTTCTGGGCTTCTTTCTTCCTTACTCTTTCTGGGACTATGTGGTCCTGCTCTTCCCATATCCTTGTCTGTCTCCTCATCTCCTCTTCTCCATCTGCACCCCCAGTTCAGCACTTCACCTCTGATCCAAGTCAGCAGTGGGAATTAAGCATAAAACCAAGGAAGAAGGCTACAGGGAATCAGCAACATAATTTGAGTTGGAAATTTTTCTGAAAATAGACTAGCAGTCTGCAGATTTGCACAGATTGCTGCATTTATTAGACTGTGATATGCATCATTTTGAAATGGAAAAAATTAGGGGAAAAATGTTCAAACGCAAGAACATTTTATAAACATAGCAGTTTCCTCCCACTCCCTAAAATGAAGAGAGCAAAAACTGGAGGAGAGAAAATCATTTTTGTCTCTTGGGTGACTTGAAGGGAGTAGTTTTAAGTCAGTCCTTATTGGCCACAAATCTAGTGTAAATGTGGGAAATACAGGCAGGAATGAAGTAGCTAATAGCCAAGAGCTCTAGGTCTTAAGTTTTCAAAGAAGGAATGGCCAAGATTTCTTCCAGCCACCTATTTCAAAGTAGGTGATATTATTTCCCTGGAAGGGAGACTTCATTTTTTTCTGAATTGTTTCTTGTTTTCATGTGTCTTTGAAACTCTCATCTCATGAAAATGTGTGACACTGGGCTGTACTTTAGTTTGTTGAAGAATGACATGTACACAACAAAGTACACTAATCGTAAGTGGACAGCTTGATAAATTTTTATGTATGCTTAACTCCCTTGACTCGGCGTTTTTATCTTTTTAGCTCTCAGGCTTGACAACTAATGTTGTGGACATTATTTTGGCTCATCACTTTGGGCAGGTAAGTGCCTAGTCCAACTAGGACAGCCGTGTTTATTGACTTCCAGCAAAACCTTATTTACCTCAGGAAAGATGGGTTGCCTTAGAATTCACCTGATCCTAGTCCAGTGCAGAGGGGGATGCTTGTGGCCCAGCCAAGACCAATCTTGGGGGAGAGGTATTAACTCAATGCCAAATGGCTCTTGGCATTTGAAGAGATGAGGGAAGGCAGAATCCCCTCCCCTGCCACCTGTTCCTGTCAACGGCATGCCATCTGTTAATGTTTGACAACATCACGTGCCTCACCCAACATCTTCAGAGACATAATGAGGTGTGAGAAAGGCTTCACAAAAATAGAAATTTCAGAGAAAAGAGAAACCAAAATAAACAGAGAATATCAATGCTTAAAGAACTTTAGACATTATCTTATTTAATCCCCATGTTTTACTGGTGAGGAAACTGAAGTCTATAGCGGAAATGACAGTCATGGATAATTATTGGGTGGGAGAGGGAACCCCAGTCCTCTTTTCAGAGGGAAGAGCGAGGTGGATAATAAGGTTTTGAATGATCTGATAAGTACTGTTTTAATTTTTGTAAGAGTTTGGGAGGGATTGCTGTTGATTCTTCTTTAAATCTTTGGTAGAATTCATAGTGACACCATCTGGGCCAAAGCTTTTCTTTGTGGATGTTTTTTTATGTTACTAATTTAATCTCTTTACTTACTAAAGGTCTATTCAAATTTATCTATCTCTTGAGATGCTTTAGGTGTTTTGTGTCTTTCTATGAATTTGTCCATTTTATCTCAGTTACCCAATTTGTTGGCATAAATTATTCATAATATTCCTTTATAATTCTTTGTATTTCTGTAAAATTGAAAATAACGTCTCCTCTTTCCTCCCTATTTTTAAAAGTAATTCAAATCTTACCTCTTTTTTTTGGTAGTCTAGTCAGTCAGTTGTTTGTTTTATTGATTTTTCTCCTGTTTTTTATTCTCTATTTCATTTATTTCCACTCTAATCTTTATTATTTCCCTCCTACTTGCTTTAAGTTTCCTCTTTTTGTAGTTTCTTAAGGTGGAATGCTAGTTATGGATTTGAGATCTTTCTTTTTTTTTTTTTATCTGGGCATTTACAGCTATAAGTTTCCCTTGCCATACCACTTTATCTGCAGTCCATAAGTTTTGGTAGTTTCATTTATCTCAAAGTATTTTCTGTGGCATCTGGGTGGCTCAGTCGGTTAAGCATCTGACTTTGGCTCAGGTCATGATCTCACAGTTCATGAGTTCGAGCCCCACAGCACAGAGCCCGCTTTGGATCCTCTGTCTCCCTCTCTCTCTGCCCCTCCCCCAAGGGTGTGTACAAGTGCACTCTCTCAAAAATAAATAAACATTAAAAAAATATTTTTCAAAACAGATGAACATAAGGGAAGGGAAACAAAATAATATAACAGGGAGGGGACAAAACATAAGAGACTCTTAAATATAGAGAACAAACAGGACTGCTGGAGGGATTGTGGGGGGCGGGGGATGGGCTAAATGGGTAAGGGGCATAAGGAAACTACTCCTGAAATCATTATTGTACCATATGCTAACTAACTTGGATGTAAATTAAAAAATAAATAAATTATTTAAAAAATGTTTTTAATTCAAAACAAAACAAGTATTTTCTAATTTCCTTGTGATTTCTTCTTTGATCCATTAGTTTTTTAGGAGTATTTTGTTTAATTTCCCAGATTTCCCTATTACTGATTTCTAACTTTATTCCATTGTGATCAGAGGATATATTTAATATTTCATTTCTTTTTTAATTTATTGAGATTTATTATGTCCTAGCATATGGTCTCTACATGTGGTCTGTCTATTTCATGTACACATGAGAAGAATGTGTATTCATTCTGCTTCTATTAAGTAGAGTGTACTCTGGGTGTCTGTCAGGTCTGGTGGTTTACAGTATTGTTCAAGTTTTCTGTTTCCTTGTGATCTTCTACCTCATTATTCATCCATGAATGAAAGTGAGATATTAAAGTTACCAGCTATTATTGTTGAATTTTCTATTTCCCCCTTCAATTCTGTTTGTTTTTGCTTTGTGTGTTTTGATTATTATGTCCTCCTGATGTTACATTTTTATTTAACAGAACTTGGAGCTAATCTTATTTTGGTAGCTCCATCTTTACCCTCTGCTTGCAGAGAGAACTGGTGCCAACAGTCCTTGAGCCTTTTTAGGCTCCTTGGTACACGTTCGCTGACTTCTTTCACTCTCCCTGCTGCCAGCCTAGCAACCTTACTGAGTCTGCTAAATGAACGATTATAGTCTTCCTTCTGCTTTCCCACTTTCAGAATGTTATTGCTGTTGTTACTTTTCCTGTTGCCTTTGTCCTTATGAGTTTATGACTACAAAGAAAAATTTTTGCTGTTAATTTTAGGACTTTTCTGGAAAGAGTAAAGCAGTATTTTAGTCCAACATCTTTAATTGGAAGTCTCAAAGACTATGATCTTTTCACACATGGTGGGTAGACATAGTATGCTTGGGTTTTTTTTAAACGTTTATTTATTTTTGAGAGACAGAGACAGAGCACAAGTTGGGAGGGGCAGAGAGAGGAAGACACAGAATCCGACACAGGTTCCAGGCTCTGGGCTGTCAGCAGAGTCCGACACGGGGCTCCAACTCAGAACCACAAGATCATGACCTGAGCCAAAGTCGGACCCTTAACCAACTGTCACCCAGCTCCCCCATAGCATGCTTGGTTTTGACTGTATACCTTAAAAAAGAGTTCACAAAGTTTACAGAATTCCATGCTAAGTGTGTGGAAGAGACAAAAGTATGTAAGATATGGCCCTTGTTCTCTAGTTCACTCTGTAGGGAGATAGGATATACAGAAATGCTATTGTAGCATAGGTAAAAAGGGATAAGTAGTAAGAACCACCTTTCATTGAATACCTACAGATGTTCTATGTATATTAATTCAATCTAATGATCTCATAATGGGAATTGTATTATTCCCACTTTACAGATGAAGTATGAATTGGTTTCCAGCTAATAGCATATCGAGGGAGGAGATTTGAAGCCAGATTTGTGCTAACTCTGAAGCTTTCCTCTTTCTACTCTGCCAGAGTGCCCTAGGAGAGGTACTGTGAGGGGCCTAGAGAAATTCAAAGGCAGGAAAGATTTACTTCTGATTTGAAGATCAGGGAAGGCTTCAAGGTAGCAGAGGTATCCCAGCTGGGCCTTGAAGGACAAATAAAATCCAACATTTTAGATTTGGGCTGGGGGAGAAGATCATTCCAGGAATGAGGAGTAGTTTGCTCAAAACAAAGAAGCCTTCCTTTGAATTTTGCTGTGAACCTAAAACTGCTCTTAAGCAATAAAGTCTTGGGGCACCTGGCTCAGTCAGCTGAGCGTGCGACTCTTGATCTTGGGGTTGTGGGTTTGAGCTCCACACTGGATATAGATATTGCTAAAATAAATAAACTTTAAATTTTTTTTTTTCAACGTTTATTTATTTTTGGGACAGAGAGAGACAGAGCATGATGGGGGAGGGGCAGAGAGAGAGGGAGACACAGAATCGGAAACAGGCTCCAGGCCCTGAGCCATCAGCCCAGAGCCCAACGCGGGGCTCGAACTCACGGACCGTGAGATCGTGACCTGGCTGAAGTCAGACGCTTAACCGACTGCGCCACCCAGGCGCCCCAATAAATAAACTTTAAAAAAAATTGTAAATAAAATTTAAGCAAACAAATGCTTATGTTGCTTCTATTGTTTTGAAATAGGAACAAATAAGGTTTAGAAACATGAATAATCTTACCTTCACCAATAAGAAAAAACCACAGCAATATCTTCTTTTTATCTATCAAATTTGCAAAAATTAAAAAGAGTGGTCATTTGTGGGGTGCCTGGGTGGTTCAGTTGGTTGAGCGTCCAACTCTTGATTTCGGCTCAGGTCATGATCCCCAGAGTCACGGGCAAGAGTGGCCATTTGTATTAAGGTTGTAGAGAAACAGGTAGTATAAATAAACGAGACAGCTACATATATGATACATACATATGGTAAGGAGTGATCTCTACCATCCTTTAAGGGGAGAAGCAAGGTATGTCTAGCAGACCACGATTTGTGTTTTTTATAAAAAAAAGGGGGGGCAATTTTTATATAACAGCTTTACCTAAGAAGTCCATTAGCACTTAAGCCAATTTTACCCCTTTTATACCATTATCACTTCTTCCCTCTTTTATCTCTAATTTTGCTATTCAGGTTCCTCTCTAAACTCTTAAGGGAGAGCTGGTTAGATCATTTCATCTCCAATTACTATGTGCTTCATTCGTTATTTACTTTTATTATAATTTCTTTAGCATTTACCACTTTTCTCAGAGTGATTCTAGTGCCCTTCAGTTTCAGGTGGACTCTGATCCATTTGGTCAGTTTCCAATTATATTCTTGGCTCACTTCATGCATACAGTAGTAAGAATGCAAACAAATATTTTCCTTATCTATATTTCTCTACAAGATTTCATGGTGACCTTTACATACACTGCCCTGGATTAACTGGCTTCCTCACTATCCCTGATACATTTCTTCCCACCAAAGCAAACATTTTCTCTTCTGCTTAAAACCGATTACTGGATGTGTGTGTGCTTGTGTACAGGTGTACACATATGTACATATATGCTTGTGTACACAAGAACCTGGCAGCTGTTCTAATGACCTCTAGAAGGCCAGCAAGAGAGAGACCGTTGGACAATGGTTGGTTGGGAGGGAGACTCACTACACTGCATGAACTATTTGTTTCTCTTGTATTTTATACCATTAATAGTATTGGTAATAAGATTAAATAAATGATAAATTAACTTGAAAAATATAAATGGAATGTAATCTATAGATATTACTAAGTGATAGTATATATATATATATATATATATATATACACTAACAGTGATTATATTTGTATTATATCAGTACAGATAAGTTAATTATAAAGATTTATGTCTATTAAGAGAAGTCTTACGTTCTATTTTTTTTTTTTTTTAAAGTAATCTCTACACCCAATATGGGGCTTGAACTCACAACCCCAAGATTAAAAGTCATACCCTGTGCCCCACTTGCCATGATGAGCAGAGAGATTTGGCTTTGGGCATTGAGAATGCAAACCAAACAACATACACTTGTGCTGTAGCTCAGAAGTTTACCTGTGTCTCTTTTCACTTGTTCTAGGAAGAGTTGCAGGCCAACCTGGACCTGATTCAAACTTACCGACTGCATATTGCCCAAGATATCAACCAAGAAAACCTACAGCTCTTCCTGGGTTCTTATAATGGGTACAGTTGTTTCCTATTCCTCCACTTAAGTATAAACTAGTTCTAAAAAGATAATGGACATTTGAAGGAGAGTAGAAGGGGAAATAAACTACTTTTTCCAGTGTTGTGTAATGAGATTGCTTTCATGATGTTGTACCACAGAAAAAGAGGGGCTTTCAGACAGATAGGAAAACAGCTTTCAAGGAGAATGAATGGGGCTGTCTCAGTTTGTAGAATGTGCGACTCTTGATTTTGGGGTTGTAACTTCGAGCCCCATGTTGGACGTAGAGATTACTTGGGGGGAGGGGGGAAAAGAATGCATGAACTGAAGGCTGTTTTGGGCAAATTCAAGTACCAGTTGTAGTTTTAGGATGTTTTAAGACAAAAAAGTGCCTAAGTTACATACACACAAAAACATACAGGTAGTGTGAGGCGAGACAGAAAAACACATATAGAAGAAGGAAAGAACAGAAGTCTTGGGCCTTGATTCCGTTTCTCTTTGCTGACATCTTGTCATCAGGCAGAAGTTGCGCATGGACACTAGTAAATTCTCTTTTGTTTGGTATTCCAAAACCTACTTTCGTGTCTCCCCCAGTCATTGAGAGAGCCTGATTCTTATCTTGGGACCAGCTTTTCCAGGGTAAAACTATTAGCTCCTGCTAGCTTTCTGGGTACATGGGAGAAGATTGAGAAAATGGGTCAGCTGTAACTTACCCAAACTCACCCAGAGATTTTGAACTTGGTCTCTCTAGCTCCTTCCTCTGTATAACAGAGCCTCCTGATTTTTAGTTGAAATCAGAAAGGTTTATTAAGTACCATGTAAAACTATGTTAGTTACAGGTTTTCCCTCAAAAGTTCCCCTTTTCTTAAGGAATTTATTCCTGTAAACTAGTTGGAAAATTAAACACTAGAACTTGAGGATTTCAGTAGCATTGTCATTGAGTTTTGAAGTTGCCTCTAAACTTTTAGCATCCCACTGTGTCCATCAGGGTTGAGCCAGGAACCTTGTTCCTGCTCTGTACCACTCACGATGCTACTGAGAGGGCCGCTTGTGAACAAAGTGCACAGGGCCCTTTCCCTCATCAGGTGTGAAGGAAAGAGAGTTTCATATTCCTTCCAAAACATTTTGGTTTTCACAACCAGGAAATAATCTGAATTGCCATGATTTTACCTGAAAAGTGTATTGCTTCCTTCTTTTTTTCTAGACGCAGAGACCTGGAGATTGAAAGACCGTTGCTGGGCCAAAATGATAATAAATCGAAGACATTAAAGTAAGTACCTCAGTTTCCCTAGTGAGTTGCTAAATATTTTTGCCTTTCATAGACTAATTTAGTATTCAGTAGCATATAAGTGCTGTTTGCAGAATGTCACCACTTACTTTGCCTTTCCTCAGGTGTTCTACTCTACTGGTGGTAGGGGACAGTTCACCTGCAGTCGAGGCTGTGGTAAGTATGTCCTGATGTTGTGAAGACAAGTGAAATTAAAACGCAATGAAATGGGGGCACCTGGGTGGCTCAGTTGGTTAAGCGTCCAGCTCTTGATTTCAGCTCAGGTCATGAACTCACAGTTCATGGGATGAAGCCCTGTGTTGGACTCTGCTAACAGTGCAGAGCCTGCTTGGGGTTCTCTTTATCCCTCTCTCTGCCCCTCCCATGCTCACACATGCCCATTCTCTCTTAAATAAATGTTTTTCAAAAAATGCAGTAAAATGTATATACAGCACACTGTTGGCACACTAGAAACCGTTGGTAAATACTAGTGTTTTTTTGTTTGTTTGTTTGTTTTTTCTTTCATTTCTGGTTACATGTGTCAGGGTTTGCTCGTTGTTATCCAGTTTGGAAAATGAATTCCTCATCAATCACTAGATTTCATCAGACGGGATCATTTTTACCTTTGATTGCTTTATGTGCTGCCATTCACTTCGTGGCAAGTAGTATAACTAAACACCATTTGCTTATTGTCAGATTTCTGACAGCCTCGGCCTTCTGCAGCCACCATACACCTGGAACTGTATCAGCAGGCTGGAAGGCTGCTGAGAGACTTTATGCTTTCCTCTGCCTCCTCCTCAAGTACATAACACATTGGTAAAAATATATATGCTCATTGTAGACAAAATGAAAAAATTAAAAAGTAGAAGGACAGGAGGAAAAATCACAATCCCGTTACCCAAAGGTAAACTATTATCTTTTCCTCTAACATACACTGGGTGATACTAAACATATAAGGTTTGGGGACCTGATTACTGATAGTATTTTTAGTAGCCTTTTTCCATATTATAAAGTCAGTACATACATCTGTATAATATTTAGTCTTGTAAATGTACCTTTGTTTACTTAACCTCATTCTCCAGTTGATTATATCAGATTTTGCACCATTAATAATGTTGCTGTTGAACATCTATAATGAATTTTTGATCATTTCCCTGGGATAGATTTCTAGAAGTGGAATTAATGTGTCAAAAATCATAAACCTTTGCAAAAATTTTTATAACATTTGCCAAATTCCTTTCAGAAGGGATATAGATAGCAGTGTGTTGGTATTAGCAATGTATGAGAGTGCCTGTTTCACAGCATCCTGTCCAGCATTAGATTTTTAAATTTTATTAATAATTTGATAGGTTAAAAATGGTGTCCCACTGTTTTAATATGTATTTTTTTTTTTATTACAAATGAAGTTGACATTTTTTATGTCTGCGCTTGTTTTTCCTACAGTGTACGTAACTTAGGTATCTGTGTGAGATTACCGGGTATTCTTTGACAGTCTTCACTTCTGCCCTGTTTAGAGAAAAACATGAGGGAGTAAGGCTTTTTGGAAAGGGAGTCTAGTAACTAATCAGAGGTGTAGATATAGACAAGGTTTATGGGCCTGGGGTGAAGTAGATATGATGATATATTCATACCTCCCTGAATTATCCTGTAAAACATTCTGTGTCTGGTGTAAAATACATGGCACGGCTTGAGCACAGAAGTAAATGTGCTCACGTCCAAATAAATAAATAAATAAATAATTCCCCCAGTGTTACAAAGTTATAGTGATGATTTGTTTTCTAACTAAAAGGTGGAGATACATGCTACAAAAATACCTATCAAAAACATCTATTCAGGGGGCCTGGCTGGCTCAGTTGGTGGAGCATGCTACTCTTGATCTTGGGGTTGTGAGTTTGAGCCCCACGCTGGGTGTAGAGATTACTTTAAAAATTTTTTTTTCTTCATAAACATATAACCTAAAACAAGAAAAGAGTGTTGTTTTTAGAAGATACTCTTATCAGAATTTTCTAATACTGAATTTTTTTTTTAACTTGCATGGACTTAAAGCAACATTTCCAATAATTTTACATGACTATATAGATTGGCCAGTACAGCTAAGGTCTTGTGTTATGATTTCCACGCCTTCAGTGTTTATAGATAAGAATTTCAGGAGCTTTCTTCTAGACAGATTCAAACGTAGCTCCCTTGTAAGAGCTAGCATTTTATCCCATAGATTGGTAGGGGTTAGAAGGCTATCCATGCAGGGAAGAGCAGGAAGGAACTCCTCAAGTTTTGGTACCTTTTGCTAACTGTTCTTGCTCACTTACTCATTCAGCCTCATTTTTTTGAGCTTCCTCCCTATTTGCTCGATACAGTGGAGAATACAAAAATGAGTAAGATGGAGTCTTTGCATTTGGGGAGCTGGAGAGAGTGTAGACATGTCAAAAAACCAACCATTGTGCTTGGCTCGGCTCACCAGCTATGGAGAATTCTTATAGAGTTGGTAGAAATTACAAAGTGGTGAACCAAGGAAAGCATATTTATTATATTAAATCCAGATATGGGAGCTCATTCTTCCAGAAAATATTTATTGCATATCTACTATGTTCTCACCTATACTTGGCAGTTAGGGATCCAGTTTTTAAATTCTCCCCTTCAGAGTTAATGCGTAATTCTGTACTAAACTGGTACATTTGCTTATTACTGCCTGCATTGTCATTTGTATAGAGCAAAACTTTGGTTTGGTGATCCTGGCTTTTAAAGCATCCCCTGATTGTAGAAGAGTTTTGTATACCTGCCCATCAGCAATCCCCAGAGTTCAGCCGGATTACTGATTCTTGCCTAGGTAATTTGAATAACTCCCTAACTGGCTTGCTGCCTCTGTAGTCTGTCATACAGGCCACTGCTGGTTACTTTCCTAAAACAACTCAAATCCTTTTACCTCAGAAACCTTCTGTGGCCTCTTGCCTTCTATGGTCAGCTCCAGTCTGCCTCCCAGACTTGCTTCGCTTCACAGTGTGTCTTCACACCACACTTACTCTGCAACCCACACGTGCTCTGCACATCCACTTCACATCACCTGGTCCTTTGCTTATGCTTTTCCCTTGACTCTGGAAGCCTTCAAACACCTACCCCTTCTCACTCTATCTCTTGAAATCCTACTTATCCTTCTCTACTCGCTCAGCTCAGTTGTGAAATTTTGAAGTGATGTCCTTCAGCCTTGTATTATGTATTTTCACCCCCACTAGATTCCAGGCTCTTAGCAGTGTTTTTATGTGTGTGCTTGGCAAGCATGTGTAAGAAAAAAGAGATTTAGTTGATCAAATTAGCCATAAAACATTGCTGAACCTGCAGATTATGTCCCTAAAACATTTTCTTTGAGGTCCCTGCTTCCATGGATCTAAGAGTATAAGATACCAAACATGTAAATACATAGGTTGTAATTCTTTATTATGATGACTGCTGTGAGAGAAGAGAACATAGAGTGGTCAGTATTTAGGTGGGGCAGTGAAAAACCTTGTGACTCAGGAAAGAGGGTGTGAGGAATGGCAAACCCAGGACACAGGAAAGGGGTAAGCTGTGGGGTGGGGTTGAGCGGGGGTGCAAAGGGCTTAGTCAGGGCCATTTGTGCTGGGAAGCCATCAGGACCCCAGCTGGTGAGGCCCATGGTCCAATTCACATTTTAAAATAGGTAACTAACCCCCAAGTTATGTAGCCAGTAGGAGAAATTAGATTGAACATTTAGTTCTTTACATACTCGCAACAGATTCAGAAAATGAAATTAGCCAGACTTTTTAGATTTACTCAGAAACAATCAGATGTCAAATGCATCACATATCTCTTACTTTGTATTTTGGACATTTCTTTGGCTGATTGAGCCATCTCCAAACTGAGCTTTTGATCTTGGAAGATCAGTCTCGTGCCAAGCTATTTCTTATTTTTCTAATGGTTCATAAAATTGTTCTCTCTTTTTTTTTAAGGTTGAATGCAATTCTCGCCTGAATCCTATAAATACAACTTTGCTAAAGGTAAGGTGTTTTCTTTTCTCATTGCCAGCCAATTTGTAAGTTAATTATACAAGGTTCAAATTACTGTATTTCTGGAATAGTTGCCTAGAAAGAAAGAAAATTTCTCTCTCTCTGTCTGATTCTTTTTTTTTTTTTAATTTCTTTTTCCTGAATATATTCTCCTTGTAGAAAATTGGAAAAAAGAGAAAAGTAAAGAACAAAATAAATAAAAATTACCCATAATCCTACCACCCAAAGTTCTCTGGTAAAAAATATTGGTGTCTAAGGGGGCGCCTGGGTGGCGCAGTCGGTTAAGCGTCCGACTTCAGCCAGGTCACGATCTCACGGTCCGTGAGTTCGAGCCCCGCATCGGGCTCTGGGCTGATGGCTCAGAGCCTGGAGCCTGTTTCAGATTCTGTGTCTCCCTCTCTCTCTGCTCCTCCCCCATTCATGCTCTGTCTCTCTCTGTCCCAAAAATAAATAAACGTTGGAAAAAAAAAAAAAAAAATTGGTGTCTTTTTCCTATACACTTTCAGTGGATTTATTTTTTAAATCTATTTATTTATTTTGAGAGAGAGAGAGAGAGAGAGAGAGAAAGCGAGCAAAGGAGGGGCAGAGAGCAGGGAGAGATGAATCCTAAGCAAGCTCCGTGCTGTCAGTGTGGATCCCGACACTGGGCTTCAAATTCACAAACCATGACATCATGACCTGAGCCGAAACCAAGAGTCAGATGCTTAACCAACTGAACTACCCAGATGCCCCATTCCTATACACTTTTTACATAATTAAGGTCATCGAATATTTACAGCCCTGGGTCTGTTTTCCTCAACTTTTGATATGAGCATTTTCCCGTGTCATTAAAAACTTCATAAGCATTATTTAATGTTGTGAGAATTAAGATGGAGGGAATTATTTACATGCTAAGTCCTATTGTATTGGTAAGGAAGCTTCCAATAATGTTCTAATGAAGGGGGTGGGTGCATTTTCTTTCTCTTAGAGCAGATAGAGAGCAGCTCTTATATTAAATTTCTGAAATCAGTATCAAGTTTCTTCCCCTATTCATTGTACCCCAGGCAAGAGTGTCAACCTCGCTTTTTCTTCAGCCTGTAGTAAAATGTTCAGCCTGACACACTGATTTGAATATGGATTACTGTATTGAAGTGCCGATCTTATGTTGCTTACTGCTACTTTTTCAGCCTGAAAGACCTCTGATTTCTTCCCTTTCTCTTTGAAGTGGCTTGAAAGGGAAGTCCTTTCACCAGAAGTAGGCCATAGTTCCTGGAAATAGAACATGGGGTTAATGCTCTGAGGCAACAGAATGCAGAATGTTCTGAGGTCCAAGTGGTTGATGAACTGGTCCAAAATAGGAAGTCTTTTTATTTGTTTTGTTTTTTAAAGCATATGGTTTCAAATAGTTTTTCCTGCAGGTTTGAATCAGTATTCTGAAAGCATAAAACTGAACTCCGTAGTATCCATGGATGTGGTTATTTCTGGGCAAAAATGCCCACACTCCAACTATTTAATAGGCATCAAGCTTGGAAATAGTTGCTCTTAATATTTTCTCTCTACGTGTGTTAACTGTTTTATGTCAGTTTTGACTCTTAAACTTCATGAAAATATAGCCTGTGCCAGTTAGGTGTGTTTTATACTTAAATCAGGGTAAATGTTTATTCCTAATATTATTATTAGAATTTTAGGGCACTGCCTCTTGTTAACCTCAAATTCCTGTGCCTTCTGTAGCATTCCCATCTGCTAAATAACAGTCCCCCACCTCAATGTTTTCATGCTAGTGAATAGAAACGATGGTTTATATCTTTTTCTTGAAAAGTTCCAGCCAGCCTGTACAGGATACTGAGTACAGAATGCATAACAGCTGGAAGGAAGAGGGTAGGCCCGTAGTTGGCTGTCATGCCTTAGAAACAAGGCATGTTTTCTGCAAATTGGCAGAATCTGCTTCACCTGGGAGCTTATTGGAAATGCAGGTTCTTGAGCCCCACCCCAGACCTATTAAATCAGAATCTCTAGGGCAGAAACCCAAGAATCTGAGTTTTAACGAGTCTTCCAGGTAATTCCAATGCTTGCTAACAAAACTCTACTCTAGAAATCCTTGCACAGGTGAGAATAACCAGCTGTAAATATTTACAAAGTGAGAGCCTCACCAAATCCAGCTTTGAGAGGAAAGTGAGTTGGCCAAATTCAACATCACCATCTGATTGGAGAAATCCACTTAGTTGAAGAATGAAGATGATATTAGGATGAGAGGGAACTTACAAAGCATGGTACCCTGAGAAGTTAGGGTCACACTGAGGACTCTGAGAGTAGCATTCTTCAAGGTAGTGGCAAAACCAGTGAAGTAGTGGTAACTTCACTGTCACCCTTAATGGAAAATTCTCACCCTGGGCCTGAAAATCAGGCTGTACATCTTACTAATTAATAAGTAGTAAATAATCTTTTCAGATTTATATCCAAGGTTATTGTTAGGATATGTCTTTGTATAAGAGTGCATTGAGGAAACATACACTTTAGTTAAACATTAAGTTAATCCTGTCCTATTTGAAAAGACTCATGGATTCTCAGCACATCCTCTAAGTTTAAGTACTTACATTTTTCTCCTCTTTTAGATGGCAGACTGTGGTGGGCTACCCCAAGTAGTTCAGGTAAGGAGATTGTTTTTTTACAAAGCACTCATTTGATTCTACTTCTCTGCCTGTGCAAAGATTAATACCTTCTTATTTGTTCCCCTAGCCTGGAAAGCTCACCGAGGCCTTCAAGTACTTTTTGCAGGGAATGGGCTACAGTGAGTAGTACAAAACTTTCTTTCTAGCAAAAATTTAATGATAATGGGGTCAATTTTGACATCTGGGGAGCCCACAATTCTCAGGGCATAACCTCTGTGGTAGCCAGCCTAAAGTCAAGTAAAAAACAAAATATTGATGGAATATTTTTCTGTATGTATATATATAAGGTGAGCTAACACTTACTAAACACTTGCCTTGTGCCAGGCGTTCTGTGTTTATAACCTTAAGAGGTAAGTTCTGTTATTAGCCCCATTTTATAGAAGAAGAAACTGAGGCTTAAAGAGACTAATAAACACATTTCCTAGGATAACAGTTCACCTGCAGAACTATGATTCAGACCCTAGCAGTCTGACTCCAGAGTCCATCTTTTCAACCACTGAGACTTAGCCTTTCCTAAACTTGTGAATCTGAAATTTGCATTTGAACTCAGCTGGTTATGATGCCTGGCCTAGAAAAACACAATGGAGACTTCAGAAGAAAAGGGTAATCTCCTCAGTTACATCCGCCCCACAATAGGAAATGAACTTGCAGAGTAGTTTAGAGTGAGTCCAAGGATGTGTCCATATTGTGTGCCACTGTCCTGGTCTCTTGTATTGTGAGACCCCTCAGCTTTCTCATTTGTCACAGACTATCCACACTTGCTCCTTTCTTGGAATTTTTAAGAAGAAAAACTCTCTTCAACCCAGGTACAGAGCTCTTTACCCAGTAGGGTGATTTTTTTCCTGTCTTTGGTATAAGTGTGGTAAATGGCCATTGGACCGCTGCCTGGGGAGCAGCTGACCCCTGGGTACAGCCCTGTGCCTGGCAGGCAGACTGTGTATGTCTCGTCTAGAGTGGCTGTGTCATCCCCGTCTGTGAGCCACTACCAACCGAGCCCACACCCACATCTCTCTGGCTCACTGGGAGGAGAAGTCCCTTCCCTACCCGGTTTTCATCCCTTTCCTAGGAAACAGCTGATCTTCCAGCCCATTTCTAATCCTAAACAGATGGCTGTTGGTAGTGTATGGGGAAAACAGTTGCCCTTGACTAGTTGAGAGAGGCACCCTAGATGGTAATAAAATATCAGTCAGCCTCACCTCTTCTCTGGGAGCTTAAAATAAAACTTTGTCCCTTAAAGTATTCTGTCAGTGTTTACTGGGCAGCCGAGGTTGCCACTTGGCACTCTTGGATCACTAACCTGCCTTTTCCTGTGTCCATCCTGCTTCCAGTCCCGTATGTGCAGCTCAGTCACCTGAGCACCGAGTCAGGTACCTTCCTCTGTGCTGGCCCCGCCCCTGCCTCCCAGCCATGCTCTCCTGGCTGTATGGCTGCCTGCAGCATGTCCGCGGTTTTCCTGTGCAGTGAGAGCCCGATAGAACGTGGCTCGTTGTTCCCTAAGAGGGTTAGCCTGCAGGTCCAGCCCTGGTTCCCCAGGAAGAAAGGAGCGGGTTGTAATAGCCAAGCTTTCTCTTATCATCCAGATCCAGGGTCACAGCAGTACCCAAAACTTTATAGGCAGGGCCCCTCTTCCACCACCACCTACTGATCCTTGCATGAACCCCAGACACAGGAATTAAAGGGTAGCCTTGATTCTAAATAGGAATATCAGAGCCTATGCCTGGAAAACTTGGCAGGTGATGGCATCTTTTGACCCCAGCATTGAAATGACAGCTAAGGGAGTAGCCAGTGCCTCAGGAAGATAGGCAGGGAAGTTATGCCAGGTAAGGCCATGTCCTGGCCAAGCTGGAGGGACCACAGGGTCAAAGCAGTGGTAGAACAGTAGTCTGAGTGAAACACCCACTCCTAGAGTCCTTCCCTTGCAGGCAGCATGTACCTTGCTGTCTGCATAGAGGTCAGCGCCAGCCCACCTGTCCTCCCCTACACCCACACCTTCCTGGATGTCTCCTCCCCAGGTAGCAAGGATAGCCTGTGGACACGGATGGTAGTCTTGTTGTATCGGGCTTGCACTGTGTTTGTGAAACACCTTCATACTTGTGTGGTTCATCTTTCTTTTGGTTTAGTCTTGCATGCACTGCAGGTTTTGGTTACCCATTTGGGTTCCCAAAGCCTCCTTCCTAATCACTGTATGAATGGCGTGGGCATAGCTAAGAGGCTGTACTCTGGACTTAGGTTTCCCCTTATTCTCCTATAGACTAGAGTTAGCTGAGATTCCAATCAGATCCAGAGGATTAAATGAACCTTGCATATAGCCACTCACCTAAGCAAACAATGCAAAATGGAGATGGCTGTATCTTGTCCTGGGTCTCCCCTTAAATGGGTTGGGAAAGCTAAACATAAAGCAAAGCCTTTGGTGAAATTTCTGGATTAGCTAAGCTTAGCCAGGGCTCCATCTTCTAGTCCTCTTGGTTCTTTCTTGCAGTACCATCTGCCAGCATGACCCGGCTCGCCCGATCACGAACCCACTCAACTTCAAGTAGCATCGGCTCTGGAGAAAGTGCCTTCAGCCGATCTGTCACCAGCAATCAATCAGATGGAACTCAAGAATCCTCTGAGTCCCCTGATGTTGTGGACAGACACCAGACCATGGAGGTGTCCTGTTAAGCAGATGATCCTCCCCTGGACCATGCAAGTCCATCCTCCTTCAAACGACCACTCCATAATATAACATTTCATCCAGCAAACTGGCATCTATCTTTAACTCCTGCATGGCCACTGACACTCTCTGGTATCGTGGATTTATCATTCTCTCTGCTTGCCCACCCTCCTTTTTGTATGTACCAAGAACCACTTCCTTGCCATTACTATAACATTCCAGCATCTTTAGCTGATCAAATTTCCATATCTTCCCTTGCCAGCTTTTCTTCGTGCTTTCCCAACTACGTATCTGACAAGATTCTTTGATCCTGGTGTATGTGTGTGAGCACGCGTGTCTGTGTTTGTGTGTGCATAGTTCTGTGATTTTAGATATGCTTTCTTGTAGAGCTTCTGCAAAACAACAAAAAAAAAAGGGGGGACTTTTTTTTTTTTCCGTTTCATTTTCAATGGTGTTTTTAAGGGAAATCTACAGAACAGGTTTCTAGGCTGGGTAGACCCCTGCATTCTCTTTTGGTTCCAAATTAGTCAACAAGATTTGCAAAGTGACTTCAGCAGCTCTGAGGAATGTGGAAGATCATGATTACTATTGATTGTGACCAATAGAAGGGAGCCTGTTACATAAGAGAGGCAGGCAGGGTGGCCAGCTATCTTGTTCTGTCCAAATGCATTCACATATGTTATTCTGTAAATAAAGGGGAGGGATAATATTCTTTTAGAAGCCCAGGAATGATGAGGTTCTGATGCAATATGGAGTTTTCCTAAGAAGTGAGCGTGGCTTAATTACTGGACTCTCTTAGCACAGGAAGGTGGAAAACAAAATATCAGGCCTCCGCTCTGCCAGAGCAAAACTGCTGTTGCTGCAGTGTCTGATACCACTTACCAGATATCCACAAGAAGTGCCTCCTGAGTCTGATGAAGAGTGTTTCTCCACCCCTCAATCCTCAGAGAAAGGAGAGGTATGGCCTGAAAATTACATAGATGGTGAGGAAACAGCTGGGGGAAAAAGGCACAGACATCAACGGAATATCATGTATAATAGGCATAGCCTTGACTTCAGCTGACTTAGTGGATGCTAAGTGAAATTGGTACAGAACCCATTTCTCAGAAAGATTTTTGACAGTTCTTTAAAAAGAGAGGGAAGGGGCTCGTCTATAAGGACAGACTATGCAGGTACAGTTGTGTTTAGTGGAATGCTGTGTGAGGGGTCACAGCCAGCCAGAGTATCAATGGGAAGAGGATGAAACCAGCTGCCGCACAGCAGGGCCCCGGCTCGTGATGGCATCAGATGTAAGCTCAGGGTTAGACAGTTCCGAATCTTAGGAAGGGGCTTTTCAGACACACTGTTCGCTTTCTGCTGAGATAGGGAATGCGTCACTCTGCCAGAGTACAACTTTTTACAGATTATTAAATAAAGCTGTATATGTCTCATTGTTACCTGATTGCTGGTGTTATTTCTCTCAAGCCACTCACTGGGGTTCAGGGTGGAACCAGGGTACTTGTGTTTTTGGGCTTCATGCTGGGCTTTTTCACATACCGATCATTATCTCACCCAAGAAGAAATGAAGACTCCGGATAAATAATTTGCCCAAGGTCATACCAGTAAGCCCATCTAGGAGTGAACTCCAGGCCCATCTGACACACTGCTATTCCCCTCAAACCAAAAATCATCAGAAGCCCGATTGTGTGGCTTATAATGAAGGAGGAAACGCTAAGGTCTTGGAAAGGCGTTTCACATTTCAGCTCTGCCACCTTTGGGGGTTGCTGAGTCCCACCCTGATTTAGTAGTCTGCAACCACATGCCTGGGTTCCTCAAACAGACCAGACTTCATTTCTCCAGAAATGGCTCTTTGTATCGACCAGTAACATTAGGAAGCCACCATCAGTTTCAAATGATCCAGGGGCTGCTGCTACCATATAGTAAGTACATCGAGGTTGCTGTGTCTATGGAAGATACTTGTTACATGACATGGACCCTGCTCATCCTGGGAAAGGAGATGAAGCAAATGCATGTGGACAGAGATACAGGGCACCGAGCTGAATTCCCGACAATACAGGACAACAGTTTTTGAGCTGGAGGTGGTCTGATGGTCGCAGCTCTTAAAACCCACATCACTCCGGCCTTCTTGCCACACCTGACATGAATGGCTGCCTGCTTTCCCACCTTAGCCTTGTGACTGGAGTCAGGCTGCAACTGACTACACCTGATTGGTCCATACCATACTTTTTTCTCTTATCATTTTCATTTCCTTTCTCCCTGTTCAGTCCAGAAACACTTGGATGCCTGCTTTGTGAGAGTCAAGGAAATGGCCACTTAGATTACCCAAGATGATTATATAAAAGCTCTTCCATGTAAATCATCTTACCCAGTTCTTACAGCACCCCTGCAAAGTGGTCAAGTCTGTTTCATAGACAAGGAATGTGTGAGGAGAATTAAGTGATTTGGCCGAGGTCACCTAGCCTGAAAATTTTTCCAGTTCTTCCAAAATCAATGCATTTCCATATTCAGCCTTTTTTTAAATAAGATTTTATTATATCACTTTCTGGCATTATCTTTTTTTTTATTTAATGTTTATTTTTGCAAGAGAGAGAGAGCATGAGTGGAGGAGGGACAGAGAGAGGGGGACAGAGGATCCTAAGTGGGCTCCATGCTGACAGCAGAGAGCCCAATGCAGGGCTCGAACTCACAAATCGTGAGATCAAGGACAAAGTTGTGACACTTAAATAACCAGGCTCCCCTCATATTCTGCCTTTTATTGAGCATCTGTCATAGGCTGGGGGCCTTTGTACCATCTATATGTTTCATAATATTGGTCCGGTGAGGTAAATGCTAGTCCTATTTTATGGATGAGAAACAGGCCCAGAGGTGCTACAAGTGGTCACAAAACTAATAAACAGCAGATCCGGGCTTTTAAACTAATTCTCAGGTGCCTCCTTTGATTTAACCTTGAGGCCAGTCTGTCAAATAAGAAGGTGGACGTCAGAGTTGTATGCAGACAAGAGCAGAGGGTGGGCCTGTGCTCACTTCCTCCCCGCCGCCACAGGCCACATCTTCCTGTCATCACCCATTTAATACTAGAATGATCTGCCACAGGATGCTCACTCTGGCTCTTTCACTTTTTTTTTTTTTTTATTTTTTTTTAACGGGCGAGATGACAGAGGAAAGATGGTCGGGAGGGTAGGGATGAATTGCCCATTGTCATCGCTTCCAGAGTGTTTGACGCGGGTGCCGGACCACGAGCGAGATTCGCGACTGGCTGGAAGTCGGACGCTAACCGACCGCGCCACCCAGGCGCCCTTTTCAGCTCTTAATTGGTACCCGTGGAGTTAAATCTCAAACCAACCTTCCCTGGGAGAAAAAACCTGAGCTGAAATGTGTTCTGAAGGTAAGGGCCCCAGAAGACTGTTATGGTCTGAGCTATGTCAGAGCTATTTCAGAAGTTATTCTGTGTTAAAAAAAGCTTATGTCTCCAGGGAATACTAAGCCCCACGGAAAGGCAGCTATAGGTGTGGTTATTTAGACTTTAATGAGATGAGGATTTTATTTAAATTTTAATGAATGAGGTAACAAAGAATTATCACCCCTGACCTGGGTGCCTGGTGGCTCATATTCATCATCTAGCTCCAGGTCATAATCTCTCATGGTCTTATCTGCATCGGGTTGTTTTGTGTGCAGGGGATTGCTGGATCCATGTCTCCTTCTTTTCTGCTCTTCCCCTTTCCTTCCGGGCCTCAAGACATGCTCTCCTCAAAAATAAACATTAAAGATTTTTTTTGGGAATACAGCAGCCACTCTGGAAAACAGTATGGAGGTTCTTCAAAAAACTAAAAATAGAACTACCCTACGACCCAGCAATTGCACTACTAGGCATTTATCCAAGGGATACAGGTGTGCTATTTCGAAGGGGCATATGCACCCCAATGTTTAAAATTTTTTTTCAACGCCATTTTGGGGCAGAGAGAGATATACGAACGGGAGGGTGAGAGAGAGGGGAGACACAGAATCGAAGCAGGCTCCAGGCTCTGAGCTATCAGCCCAGAGCCTCGAATGCCGGGCTCGAACTCACGGAGCGCGAGATCGTGACCTGCTGAAGTCGATTTAACCGGACTGGCGCCTGTGGGCGCAGTTTGGCTAATAAATGTCAAGAAGCCATTATGCATGGAAAGAGCCCAAATGTCCATCGATGGATGAATGGATAAAGAAGATGTGGTATATATGTACAATGGAGTATTACAGACTGAGGGTTACAGGACGGGTTGTGGGAGGGGGGATGGGCTAAATGGGTAAGGGGCACTAAGGAATCTACGCCTGAAATCATTGTTGTACTATATGCTAACTAATTTGGATGTAAATTTAAACAAAAAATAAAAAATAAAACAAGTTAAAAGATTTTTAAAATTCTTTATCCTAGCTGAGTGATTCTCAAGCTTGGGCTGTGTATTAGAACACCTGGAGGGCTTGTGGAAAGCAATTTGCTGGCCCCACCTATGGAGTTTCTGATTTAGCAGATCTGAGATGGGGCCCAAGAATTTTTATGTCTAACAAACTCCCAGATGATGCTGAGGCTGTTGGCCTGGGACCACACTTAGAGAACCACTGTCTTGGTCTTATTGCCCAAAGTGGTTCATGGACCAGCATTGTGGGGTATAGCCTGGGAGTTGTTAGCAGTACAGAATCTTAGGTCCCACCCCAGACCCACCAAACTAGAATCTGCTATTTAATAAGATCCCCGAGGGGCGCCTGGGTGGCGCAGTCGGTTAAGCGTCCGACTTCAGCCAGGTCACGATCTCGCGCTCCGTGAGTTCGAGCCCCGCGTCGGGCTCTGGGCTGATGGCTCAGAGCCTGGAGCCTGTTTCCAATTCTGTGTCTCCCTCTCTCTCTGCCCCTCCCCCGTTCATGCTCTGTCTCTCTCTGTCCCAAAAATAAATAAATGTTGAAAAAAAAAAAAAAATAAGATCCCCGAAGGAGAGCCTGGGTGGCTCAGTCGGTTAAACTTCTGAGTTCAGCTCAAGTCATGATCTTCCTCTCTGCCCCTCCCCCAGTAGTGTATCTGCTCCCTCTCTCCTCTCCCTCCCTCTCTGTCCCTCTCACTCCCTCCCTCCCTCTCAAAAATAAATATTTAACAAGATCCCCAAGGAATACCTATACACATTAAAGATTAGGACACATCACTCCAAGGCAGTGTTTCCCCCAAAGCCAGTCAAGGGAATCTCTTGGGAGTGTATAAAATTCAGATTCCTTGGCTTTCCTCTGGTGACTTGGACACAGAAGATGGGGGATCCCAGGAATCTGATACCAGCGAGAGACTCAGGTGATTATAATGGTCCGGTAAGCATGGGAAACTCCTCACTTACCTCAGTTCCATGTTCCTCAGGCAAGACCAAGCCACAAAGCCAGAGAAAAACCTCTCCCTCTAGGATGACAAGGCAGCTGCTTCTCCTTTAGAAACAGGAACTTGGGGAAGGTGGCTCCTTGATGGTCTGTGATGCCGTCAGAGGAAATGGGTGGTTGTGAGAACCACAGAGCCTGCAGATGTGAGCTGGGAGCCCCAAAGACCCTATGATAGAGCTCAAAGAGCCCCGAGCCTTCTTCCCTGGCCTAGCTGTGCTTGGGAGGGCTGCCCAGTTGGGGGTCTCTAAGGAGCATGAGTCTCCTTTCTCATCCCAGGTGTACAAACTGCTGAGCACTGCAGATGCAGAGCTACCCACAACGATACCAAGAGCATCTCTCTGAAGACACTCCCAAGCTGAGAGGATTCTGGGTGCCCTAGGACTAAGGACTTTGGAAGATGTCCAGAAGGGCCCTCCAAAGCCCTATCCTCTCCAGTCAAAGCATGCATCTAAGCTGAGCCCTGGCCCCAAGCTTTGATGACTGGAAACCAGTAAGTATGTTTGCTTGGTATGTAAGCTTGGTATGTTTGTAAGTATGTAAGTATGGTCTTAGGACTATGAGGAAGGATGGTCCCCCCAGAGGCTGGGAGTGAGCTTTACAGTGGGGGAAGGAGTTCCAGGAAAAGAAGTGGTTCTGTTGAGGATGTAAGGGGGTGGTTTTGAGGGTCCCCAAAGGAACCCAGGCCTTTGGCCTCCCCTGCCCCCAAAGCATTACATTATTTCCTCCAGCTTGTCTTCATGTCTCTTCTGGTCCCATCTCAGTCACCAATTTGCTGTATGATTTTGGACCCCCCTCTGGCTACAGCCTTTCAACGTCAGTGAATGAGAGGAGTCTGGATTATAATCTTTGAAGGCTATAAAGTCTACAATTCCTCTCAAAAGGGTGATACTTCTCAGCTGAGAGAGAGGTCTCCCTTTAGCTTAATCAAATTCATCACTCTTAACCTCTGCCGCTGAGAAATTATCTCCAGAAGCACAAAAACAAAGATGTGGATTATAGACCCAGGCTCTGCACTAACCAGCTACATGAGAGTGAACACGAGGTTGTTCTCTCTGAGCCCTGATCACTGTACGTGAATGGGTTTCAAAGCTGCCGACCTCTCAAATGATCAAGTGAGAAGATCAAAAAACAACTGTAGGCAGTGTGCTGATCTCAGCAGCCTTTACTGTTTTCCTTCCACCCACTGGCCTGGGCCCCCTAGAAAGTGCCTTGCACATAGTTAATTTTTCAAAGACTTGTGCAATTAATAATTAGATTCTCTCTAAAGTTTTGGCCAACATCTCCTCCTTCTAGGCCTGCACACCCCGTGGTCTTCATTTGCCCCCAGGAAGTGCCCTGGCCCTGACCAGGCCAGGTGAGGGGAGCTGGCAGAGGTCTGGGGAGCTTCCAGCCTCACTGTGGCTCTCCTACCTCTCTTGGGTCCATCCCCCAGCTCCACTTGCTGCAGAAAGAAGTCTCTGGGTTTAGTAAAGTTGGTGACTATGGTGACTTTGTCTTGTTGAAGGAGGGAAAAGGAAACTAACCTTTACTGAGCACTCTATACCAGGCTCCCCGACTTCTCCCCACAACCTAGTTGGTACTATAGTTGGTACTATCCCTGATTCAAAGATGAGACAGAGGTTATGTGCTTTGCTCAAGGTCACAAATGGAACCTGGTTGGTCTGAATTAGTCACTCATGCTACCCAGAAAAGATTTCTCTCTGAGATTTTTCTGGACTTGTGTCTGCACAGTTAAGCATAGAGCTTGTATCTGATACCTAAGGGGAAGGGAAAGGCTGGTGAGCAACAAGAATGTTCAAACCCTGATGTGAAGAGGAGCTGTAGCAGTGAGGGCATTAGAGCCCATTTCAGGCTGTCACAGCTTCAGGATCCCAAAGTCTGAGCAGGAAGTAGGTGCTGGAAGCCATTTCCTGAAGATGGGCCTATTTTCTATTAAAGAGCTCCATCCTCATGAGTACTGAACTCTCCATGATGATGACAGAAACCCATACTTAATCAGGCATGGTGAAGGGTTCAAAGGCAAGGCCCGTGCTATGTCACTGTGCCATTCTGTGATCTCCTCCAGAGAACCAAACTGGTACAATTATTCCTTGTCTCTACTGAAAAGGATGGAACCATCTGAAAGAATGAAACTACCTCCCTGAATTACTTTAATAAAGTTTTTGAAAAAATTAGCATTACCCTAGAAACCTGGGAATTAAAATGATTCTAGGGACGCCTGGGTGACTCAATCGGTTAAGTGTCCGACTTTGGCTCAGGTCATGATCTCACGGTTCATGAGTTTGAGCCTTGTGTTGGGCTCTGTGCTAACAGCCCAGAGCCTGGAACCTGCTTAGGATTCTGTGTCTCTTCTCTCTCTCTGCCCCTCCTCCACTTGTGCTCGCTCTCTCTCTCTCTCTCTCTCTCTCTCAAAAATAAACATTAAAAAAAATTATTCTAAGGATAAGACACTTGTCCAAAGAGCTAATAATCACTTTGGTCCATTTAGCTAGTGTGTGTTGAGTGCCTTTTATGGGCCAAATGTCTCATGAAATGTTGAGGAAATAGGCAAAAAGAGATCTTTGTACTCATTGTGCCATAGAATAATGACAAATTAAACAAGTAAACACTAATAAATGAATAATTAAAACTTGGGAAGGGGGCACCTGGCTGCCTCAGTCAGTGGAGCATGCAACTCTTGATCTCAGGATTGTAAGTTTGAGCCCCACATTGGGTGTAGAGATTACTAAAAAATAAAATCTTAAAACAACAACAAACAACAACTTGAGGAGGAGCACAACAGGGAGTCGACAGAGAGAGTGGCCTCTGGTGAAGTGACATTCAGGACACAATAAATGAAACGGCCCTGGCCAAGCTTTTCTCATGCCTTATCTCTTGGACCCGGATGTTGGGTATTGTTATCCCCATTTTTCAGATGGAGGCAAAAAGCAGGGAAGTGGCTCAACAGCCAATCCCTCCAAAGCCTTATAAGTCATCGCTATGGCATGCAGTCTCCTAGTCATCTTACTTTGCCCTGTGCAAAACAGTGACACTGAGCACTAATAACTGTGCTCAGTGTCACCGTAGCTTGTTGTGACATGAGTTCCCAAGCCTCCTTGGATCCCCACCCTTGCCCACCTCTAACCCTAGCCATGGGTCCTGTCATTGTGCCCTGCCACCCAGTGGCAGAATGTGATCCCACATCAAGAAATGGTTCAGAGTAGGCCTGTCATAGGAATAATTGCTGAGGGCTGGGGGATTCAGGGAAATCTTGCCAGGGAAGGGTGGGATCCAGACAGGCCCCAAGAGGGAAAAGGACATTCCAACCAGTGGGCCACATAGGCAAAAGCCCAGAAAAAAAAGAGTAGAGTATGGCTGCAGTGTAGAAAAGGTAGGCCTGCCAGAGAAAATGGTCTAGTTGCAGAGAGCCTCCTGAGTCCGGTGGAGGGGCTGGAGTCTGGTCCTGCTGGGAGGGGCATCATTCCCTTTTGCCAGCAGGGCTGAACTGGGAAGGGAAAGGGTGTCTGGGTATCCGGGGCCTCTGTGTCCATCACAGTATCTCTTTCAGATTTCCCTTGACCCTGTGCTTCTGAGTGGTCTGCTGAGGAACGATGGGAGGACAGCCCAGCAGAGGGAAAACCCAGCCAAGCCCAAGCTCAAGCCCCTCTGTCCAAGGCCCAGGCCCTGTGCCCACGCAAGCAGGTAGGCTGTGGGCCCTTCCCACACACGGTAAGGTTGCACAGCCCCAGACACCACTGCCTCTGTGGGCTTTCCTGACCAGCCACTCCAGCCTGACTTCAGGTGTCAGTGAGTGCCTGCTGTATACCAGGTCCTTCTTTGTGAACCGTACAGGCAGTGTCCCTGCTCTGGGGAAGCTTACATTTCAGCAGTCAGAACATTAAACAACTAGATAAACTAGAAAATGTGAGTAACAGGTGCTAACCAAGAGGGCATATTAGTCCCCCAGGTGTCTCCCAAGGCTTCCCTACTCTTCAACCAGTTTATTAGGAAATTGAGCTGCTAATTCCAAGACCAAATCTAAGACCAGCTCCACTTCTGTAGCTCTCCAAAGCTGTACTTTCCGGTATAATGGCCCCTAGCCATGTGCAGCTATTTAAATTCAAAGTAAGATTAATTAAAATGAAATTAAATATGTGGCTCCTCAGTCACATCAGCCACATTTCAAGTGCTCAGTTGCCATATGTAGCTAGTGTTTACCTATTGGACACCACAGTTTTATAACACTTCCATCATCACAGAAAGTTCTATTGGACATCATTGCTGCAAAGTGTCTCTTCTTAGCCTGTACAATATTTGGAACAAAATTAAAGGCATGGTAATTGGAAGAAACTGGGACATATAATGCATACGCTGAAACTACAACTATGATTTTTAAGATAGTCCTGACTGAAAATGCCCATTTTGAGGACAATCAAAATATCCTATAAATTCTAATATTTTGGTATCAAAACTATAGCCCCAGTTTGTTTCTTGTTCCCCCAAACAACCCACAAATAGTTTCTCGAATCACATCCTGATTTGGGGTTTTGATGGTGTATTCATCAGGGTTCTCCAGAGAAATAGAACCAATAGGGTTTGTGTATGTGGGTGTGTGTGTGTGTGGACACAGAATTTATTTTAAGAAATTGGTTCATGCAATTGTGGGGGCTGGCAAGTCTGAATTCTGCCAGATAGGCTGACAGGCTAGAGGCCCAGGGAAGAGTTAAGATTGCAGTCAAGTCTGGGGGCAGAATTCCCTCTTGCTTTCAGAACCTCAGTCTTTTTGTTTTAAGATCTTCAACTGACTGGATGAGGACCACCCACATTATGGAGAGTAATCTACTTTATTCAAAGTCCACTGATTTAAATTGTTATCTCAGGGCACCTGGGTGGATCAGTTGGTTAAGCATCTGACTCTTGATTTTGGCTCAGGTCATGATCCCAGAGTCATGGGATTGAGCTCTACATTGGACTCCAGGCTCTGTACTGAGCATGGAACCTGCTTAAGATTCTCTCTCTCTCTCACTCTGCCTTTCTCCCCGACTCACAAACATTCTCTTGCTCTCTCTAAACAAACAAAACAAACAAACAAACAAACAAAAAATTGTTATCTTCACAGCAACATGTAGACTTCTAGACTGGTGTTTGACCAAATATCAGGGTACTGTGGGCCAGCCACATTGACACATAAAATTAACCATCACAGATAACAAATTACTCTAAACCAAGCAGCACTTTTAGGAGGACTGACATGGGCACACACTTAAACAGAACTAGGAGACTACGGAGCCAAATACCTGGATGTCTGGGCAGAAGCTATCCCCAATCTGAAAATTCCCCTGCAATAGCTGAGGCCTCTTTCCCCTCCGCAGCCCTGCCCCTAATATCCTCATCTTCCTAATGCCAGCCTCCCACAGGCATTAATGCCCTGGGCTCTGTAGTTCTGTTGGGGAGGCAGCTGCCTCTTTGTAGCCACTCAGTCTGCACAAAGAGCCTGGGGCCCACCAGGCTGAGCAGGAAGAGACCTGGAAACCACACAGACCTCCCCCTCGTTTCCTCTGAATCTAGCCACAGGCCACGGCCCCAATGCTGCTCTGAGTCATGGCCAGGCTGCTGAGGGGGCTGACCTCCGGCAGGTGCTCTGGGGGTTCTCCCTGCCTGTGAGACCCAAGGGGAACTGTGTTCCTCTCTCTGACAGGGTCTCCAGGGGGAAGGGTGGGCCTCTCTCTTGGTAGGTCAACCCCTGGTCCCAGCAAGAGGACAGATTTGGGGCAGCCCCTTCCATGAGTCATTTGTCCATCAGTCTTGCATCTGTTCAAAATCTACCAAGGCTCTACCACATGCCAGGCCTTGTGCCGGGGCCAAGGGACATAGAATGGACAAGATAGGCACAGCCCCTGCCTTCAGAGACAGTCAAGTCCCAGAGACAGGAGCTAAACCAATAGTCAGTTGCAGTTGTTATATTTTGGTGACAGTGTGTTTTAAGGGGTTCTTATTGAAAGTGTGTGCTGAGGGACTCATCACAAAGACTTCACCAAGAAGGGACATTTTATCCAGGGAGTGAAGGATGAAGGCGAGTTGTCCAGGAGGATGGTCAGTGAGTGGGACAGCAAGCATATGCAGCTCAGTAACAAGTAGGGGTGCAATTCCAGGGCTTCCAGGAGGCAAAGGGGTCCTTCCGGGCCATCTTGTTGAAGGATGCCCTCCACAAGACTTGCTTGCATTGTTTATCTGGGCATCAGGCATTTTCAGGCATCAGGCATTTCCCTGCACCATGTGATGGCCAGGCCCTGTGCTATATAGACAGCTCTGAGGAGCTCCATTCTGTGGTCACCATGTGGATCGGCACATGTGTCTGGGAGGACATGTAGGAACCAGGTCCCTTTCTGGGAATGCCGTGTCATTCTTCCCATGTCCACCTGGAGCCTAGGCCCTTATATCACACAGTGTCCAAATCTGGGTCTGCCCCACCCATCCCCTGGGTCCTTGTCTGTTCATCTGCTCTCCCTTCCCCATCTCCTGGGGCATCTGTCTAGAAGGCTTCACAGAGCCTGCTGAGGCCTTGGATCCTTCAGGAGCATCTATGAGACAGATAAACTTTTCTTGCTGACCTTGATTGCTTTTCATAGCTTGATGCACTGATGTGCTAACAAGTCTGTCTCTCTTTTCCCTTTGTTTCAGAGACCCCTGATGAACTGGGATAAGGAGGAAGGAGAGGGAGGGACACTGGATGTGGGTGAAGTGGCTCTCAGCAGCCTGTGGAGGGCAGGGTTTTCAGGATGAGAAGGCCCAGACAGATATCAGGAGGTCTAGTTAGAATGGGCAGGCTGATCCCTGAGGCGGACGAAGGATGAACATCCTGTGCTGAGGGAGCTGCTTGCCACCTACCATCCAACCTCAAAGTTGGGCCTCATGACCACCGTGTCTTTGGGACCAGTCCTGGTGTGATGGGGCAGGGGTAAGGGGAGGCTTAGCATCCTCTGGCTCCATGGCTTCCTCTCTCAATGTCAGTGTCCCAGAGAGTCTGGACTTTTTTGGTGAGGTGCTACAGCTGTCCAGCCAAGTCCCCCCAACTTGGGCCCATGAGTAAGCCACAGTGGTCACCCAACCCAACAGTGCCCCATGGGAAGAGGGACAGGGAATGCCATAGAAGCTACTCCTGGTACAGTACCCTACCTCATCTCAGTTGCCTTGCTGAGCAATGGGGCTGACCAGAGAGGACTACCCCGGAGCTTGTGAGGGCTGAGGTGATGCGTGCAGCACCCAGTCAGATCCTGACACTCAGCAGCCACTCAGTAAGGGATGGCAGGCATGTGGCCAGGATGCTTGACTGGGCCACATACACTAGCTGAGTGTTTACTCTGGGCCAGGCCTGGTATAGTGGGCCCCTGGGACCCCAAGTTTTCTCGGCAGCACAGACCTACACCTGTCATTTTGGACAAAGACCATGGGAGAGCCATGCTCCCCACACGCATGGCATTGTGGAGTTACAAAGCCTGTCCACATCTGTGATTTCATTGGCTCCTCCAGGAGCCCTCCTCCTCCTATGCTCACCCTGGACTTCACCCCTCAAAGTTAGTCCATCCAGTGCCCATGTCATTAGAACTTGTAGAAACTGAGCTCAGAGATCTGTGCTGATAACCTGATTAGAGCTGTAGTTTTTAACTTTGCTGAGCAGGGGAATCCTTTTATCAAAATCTTCTTGAAGATCTCCATATAAAAGAGGATTATAACCAGGGGCCCCACTCCTCTTGACACACTAACCTATTCCCTGAGGTGACTGCAAAAGATGTCTGGGCATTCCTAGGGCTCTGCAGAGGCCCACTGAAAAAGCTTCAGATTCCAGGGTGACCCTCTTGGAATCCCAGCAGGCATGATCCCCAGGGTGCCCATGAAGGAGTTGATTGTGGAAGCCTGGACTCCACTAGACTTCACATGTGGAGGGAGGACTAGCTGAAAAGATGACCGTCTCTGTCCCTCTATGCAGAGAGAAACAGGGCCACGGCTGTGGCCCTGAGCAGTTTCCCGGTAGGCGAGCACACAGAGCTGTCGCTGAGACTGGGGGAGCCGTTGACCATCATCTCTGAGTAAGTCCTCCTGCGGGGAAGGATGGGGTGCTCTGCTTTCTCTCCCTGACACCTGAAGATACACTATTGGGAGAAGGGGCCCTTCCCTCCAGAAGAAAAGAGCATGGCCTTTGGTGCTGAGCTCACATATGGCCCTAATGATTTCAGGAAGCTTGACACACCTGCAGGAAGAAACAGTAGGTGGGCAGGGCCTTGCAGGGGGCCCTGAATCCTGCCATCTATTGCCCAGGAGGTACCAGCACTGGGTGGTACAAGGAAACCTGGGAATCACAGGTGGGATAGGTGGCCAGCCACAGGAGCCAGCCTGGTGGGTCCTCATGAATCCTAAATGAGCAGTTCCCCTCCTTTCTCTCTCCAGAGATGGAGACTGGTCGACGGTGGTGTCAGAAGTTTCAGGCATAGAATATAACATCCCCAGCATCCACGTGGCCAAAATCTCCCATGGGTGAGTTCACACCCCAGGCCCTGACTTAAGGGAACTTCCTGCTTTCTCTTCCCACAAGCATATCCTTTATGGCCAGTCCTATGCTGAGCAAAACTGGGGAGAGGGGAGAATCAGGCCTGGGCCCTGCCCTCAAGAAGAGTGAACAGCTAGCCGTCTCAGGTCAGCCTGTGAGACTTGGGAGCCCGGAGGAGGGGGCTCAGAAAGGCCCCATAGAGATGTCTTCTGGGCTTTGGAGGGTGGCCAGGAGTTCAGTGAAGGTGAATGCTGAAAGGGAGTAGCCTTGAATATGTGTCCTAAATGTCCTGAGGCAAGAAAATGGAGGGGTGGTGCCCCACAACTTAACAAGCCTGTCTTTCTAAGAGGTGCCTCGAGGGAAGGCAGGACATGGGGGATGCAGGGTCTCTTACAAAGTGTGGGCCACTGCTCTCCGAGAGTGAGTGACAAAAGAAACTGACTCCAGAGCAAATTCTGTGTCGTGAGAGAGAAAGGAAGTGAACTGCCTTTGGGTGGGATCTACCTGCATAACATGGAGTCATACAAGTACACTGTGTGTGACAGCCACTCTTCTGAGAGAAAGTACAGCTCTGGCACTGGATGGCCTTCCTTTTCTGAGGCTCATGGGGATATCTGGCTCTGATGAGAGTAGTGCAGGGATCCTGAGACCTGTGGACATCTTGTAGAATAAACACACAGAGGTTGTCGGCATCCAGGTGAAACCCGTCTTGCCCACGTTTTTCCTAATAGCCTGGCCCTGCTGGCAAGAGATTTTGCATCTCCAGTGTGGTACTGAAGTTTTAGCCAAGGAAACACTGACCGCCTCCCAGAGTCCCCTTCCCTTGCCTTTCCATCTACTTTCCAGTGTTTGTAAGTCACATGAATGGCTTGTTTTATTTACTATAAAACTAGGCTGTTTGTTGCTGGCACCAAGCAAGTCATGGCTTCTCTGATTTATTTACTTGGAATTGACTCAACTCTGAGTTTGGCTTTGACTGTGGAATTTCACACAATGACAGGGAGGCAGCCATTTCCATTGAGTTGGCTTCTGAAGGTTTTCCCAGGGACCATAGGGCATGGCTCTGGGGACATTAGAAGGCTGATGGACTAGTAAGCCAAAAAAATTCCTGCAAAACCACCAAACTTTCCACTGTGGTTAAGTCCTTCATGAACATATAGGTGAAGGATTAAGTGAAAGGAGAAAGGAAAACAGAGGACCAGAGTAATCAACAATCCAGCAGTGAAAGAGGCACCGAGGAGTAGGTTATGAAGATCTGTGCTTTGGGAGGCACATATGATGATTGATAGGCCGCATGATTTTTCCCAAGATTTTAGAATGTCTTGAACATTCTAGTTCCAGCATTTCTACCCACAATAAGCTCCAGTGGGAGTTAGATTTCACTGATAATGAATACATGTTCACTCACATGCCTTTTTGACTACCAAGTTAAACTTTAAAACATTCAAATAAAATACTTACTAAAATTAAAAACAAGGGGTGCCTGGGTGGCTCAGTCGGTTAAGTGTCTGACTTCGGCTCAGGTCGTGATCTCAAGGTCCGTGAGTTCGAGCCCCGTGTTGGGCTCTGTGCTGACAGCTCAGAGCCTGGAGCCTGTTTCAGATTCTGTGTCTCCCTCTCTCTCTGACCCTCCCCCGTTCATGCTCTGTCTCTCTCTGTCTCAAAAATAAATAAAGGTTAAAAAAAAATTAAAAAAAAACACAACAAAATAAAACAGGCAATTATTGGAAAGGTAAAGGCTTGGAAAGGTGAGTGGCTAGCATAGGGGTACTGGAGGAGCTGGGCAGTGATAGGAGAGAGTCTGTGATCACCTCACCTGCCCCTAGCCCCAACGACTTGGAAATGAGGTCTCCAGGTAGAAAAACCTGGGACTGACCCCATGAGGTTATCCTCTGAGGCGTCTGGAGCCAGGACTAAGGCAAAGCTGGGGAGCCCTTGGAGACCATGTACAGTTGGAACTCTGAGGTCCAGAGATGGAGGAGGGGTGGAGTAGAGCCTTGGCCCATCCCCACTCCAGGGTGACTTCTCTCTGTCCCTCCCCCAGGTGGCTGTATGAGGGCCTGAGCCGGGAGAAAGCTGAGGAACTGCTGTTGCTGCCTGGAAACCCCGGAGGGGCCTTCCTCATCCGGGAGAGCCAAACCAGGAGAGGTGGGTAAGCTCAGTCCTGGCTTGTCCTTTGAATGCTGAGAGTCAAGTGTGAGGTGACTTGGGGATAGAAGTAGAAGGCTGGATGTGAAGGGCTATGGTACCTGGCTTTGGAGTTGGGCAGTCTGGCTGACTGACACCAGGTTGCTGCCACAAGAGCCCATTTATAAAAGTGGGTGTGGGGGCGCCTGGGTGGCACAGTCGGTTAAGCGTCCGGCTTCAGCCAGGTCACGATCTCGCGGTCCGTGAGTTCGAGCCCCGCGTCAGGCTCTGGGCTGATGGCTTGGAGCCTGGAGCCTGTTTCCGATTCTGTGTCTCCCTCTCTCTCTGCCCCTCCCCCGTTCATGCTCTGTCTCTCTCTGTCCCAAAAATAAATAAAAACGTTGAAAAAAAAAATTAAAAAAAAAAAAAAAAGTGGGTGTGAATGGTCCACAGTGGGGATCCGGGCTCAACCTACACTTTGGCAACTGGGTCTTGTAACAGAGTACAGTCACATGATTTCCCTGCCCTGACCAGCAATGATTCCTTCCTCCCCAAAACACAACACAGTTCTGATCTCTTGGCAAAAAGTTGTCAAGTTCACAAGGTCTCTGTACTTTGGTTCACCATCAGTCAGAACTAGAAAACTCATTGGAAGTCAGCTCTTGGGGCTCCTGGGTGGCTCAGTCAGTTAAGTGTCCGACTTCGGCTCAGGTCATGATCTCACAGCTTGTGAGTTTGAGCCCCACATCAGGCTCTGTGCTGGTAGTGCAGAACCTGGAGCCCGCTTTGAGTTCTGTGTCTCCCTCTCTCTCTGTCCCTCCCCTGTCCCTGCTCACCTTCTGTCTGTCTGTCTCTCTCAACAATAAATAAACATTAAAAAAAATAAAAAGAAGTCAGCTCTTGATCTTCTTCTTTCTGCCGTATAGATGGGGAAGATGAGGAAACAGAGGCCCAAAGAGGGGTAGGGACATGTCACATTGCACATTCATATGGGACTTCTCCCATTTCAGGTTCAGGACCTTTGCAAACAAGACACAAAGTTGATAGAGCCTGTCTCTGATGCCCTGCCTCCCTCTGAGGTGCTGTCCTGAGACCCTTACAGTGAGGGCAGAGAGGGATGTTGAAAGAGTGGCTGTGCTGACGTTTATGTTAGAACTTTTTGTGCCTTCAAACTACCCTGTGGGGGATTGTGTTTCCACTGTCCCCATTTTATAGATGAGGAAAGTGAGGCTTAGAGAGGAGAAATGATCTGCCTGGAGAGACATGACTAAGTGTGAAGCTGGGATTCAAACTCAGCTGATGTCTGTCTCACTTCAGACTCCCAAGAAAGGTCCATGTGTCACAATAATGGCAAAACTGCAAGTGCAGTGGAAGCCTAGGGAGGAGATACTTAGGAGCGAGGACAGGCCTCCTGTGCTTGCCCTAATTTGAACCAACCATGGTGGGTTGTCGGGGTCCTTTGCTCCCAGTCTCCTTCCTGAGGCCCCCTTCAGCACATCTTTGCCTCCCTTCTCCTTCCTTCAGAAGCTCGTTAGATTGACTTCTCCCCAGCCCCTCTGATACTTTTCAGGCAACATCAGCAACCCACCCTCACACCCAAAGGCTGGCTGAGACTGGGGCTGGCCTGAGTGCAGCAGCTGCAAACAGGAAACCACAGCAGTGGGGCTAACTGGGACAAGGGTGCTGCAAACCAGGCCCCAGTGATCTTGAGAAGCCACAGGAAGTGTTCCATGTTCAGCTGCCCCATCCCCACCCCTTCTCTGGCCAGGTTTAGCCACAACCGCATGGTGACCAGCACTTACTGCCCCTTTCCTAAGAAAGCAAATATGCAGGAGGAATTGGCTGGGAAATAAAGGAGAAAGCAGATAAGGATCCATAACGATCTTTAAAGATCCATAAACATCCACATGATTACCGAGATTAAGGTTAGATTTGACTCTGAGCTTTCCCATAGCCAATCCCAAAAGGAGGTAGATCAGAATGCAGGTCTCATTATCAAAAAAGGAAGACCTTTGTCAGTTCTGCAGGAAAGGCAATGGTTTCCCCAGTACTAATTTCTAATCTGTCATCTGAGGCTTCCTTTAGGGCAGTGTTTGTCAAGCTGCAGATTGAAACCCTTTTGTGGGCCAAGAAATTAGTTTAATTCAGTGGTTTTAGAGCAGTGGGTCTGAAATCTGAGTGGCCATCAGAATCACCTAGAGGACTTAAAACAAAGAACTGGCCAAACACCCAGATTTTTGTTTGGTGGGTCTAGGGCAGAACCTGATAATTTGTCTTTCCAACAAGTTTGCAGGTAATGCTGTTGCTGCTGCTCTGGGGACCACACTTTAAGAACCATTGATTTAGGGGCACCTGGTTGGCTCAGTCGGTAGAGCATGTGACTCTTGATCTCTCAGGGTCATGAGTTCGAGCCCTATGGTGGGCATTGAGAGAGAAAGAGAGAGAGAGTGTGAGCGTGTGCACACTCGAGTTAAGGGAAGGGGCAGAGAAAAAGGGAGAGAGAGACAATCCCAAGCAGGCCTGGCACAGAAAACGAGGAGCCCTATGTGGGGCTTGAAACCATGAACCATAAAATCATGCCCTGAGCCAAAGTCAAGAGTCAGAGGCTAAACTGCTCCTACCACCCAGGAGCACCCCCCGCCCCCCACCGGCCAAAAAAAATCTTGAAGAAAAAAAAAACAAAACCAAATGCTGATCTAGACCTTGGCTGCAAGTTGGAATCATCTGCTTTATAAATTACTGATGCCTTGCACCCAACCCCCAGGGTTTCTGATTTAATGGGTCAGGGGTGTGGCCTATGCCCTAGAAGATATAAAAGTCCCGCCAGGTCATTCTGATATGCAGCCAGGGTTGAGACCCTTTCATTTAGTGGATCTGGACCAGTGAGTGTTTGAAGTGAAATATAAGCAGAAAACTTCAAGGTGCATCACTGGGGTTGGGAGAAATATTGTTTCATCCTATTTTTGTTTTAAGTAATTTTAAGTGTGTCCTGGGTCACAGTGTAAAATTTCATACTATGGTTTGTAGTAAAAAAAAAAAAAAGTTTGGCACTGCAGCTCTATGAGGCCTGAGTAACATCACAGAACATTGGTTCTCAGACATGAGTGTATAGGAATTGTCAGGGAAATTTCTTGACAATACAGACTCTTGGGCCCCTTCTGACTCTATTTACAGGGCTCAGAGGTCAGAAATCTTCTTCCTTCACAAGTTCTCTGAATGGTTCTTATGTTCTTTTAAGCTTGAAAACCCAGTTCTAATCTAGGGAAACCAGAATTAAGTAGTAAGGGACAATGTTTTTTACATTTACATAATGCATATTGTCATATATAATAGTAATTAACTATTGATTGAGTGAATGTTATCGGGATTGGCTTTTCTTTGTATCAAGGTCCAAACATACATCTGGGAAGGGAATTTGAGTTTGTGTGTGGAACAAGGAGGGAGGCCTAGGGCCTGTGAGCTCCCAAGAACACTACTCAGAGTCTGGACAGAGGAGGGTACGACTAAGACCTCTCCATCTTCCCCAGAGTCCCTCTGGCACATCTGTCTATGTTCTAAACCTGGGGGAAATCATGGCAGGGCCCAAGTCAGGCCCCAAACCTTGGTATGTGAAGGGGCACTGATGACTCTGTGGAGGTCACAGGACTGCTCCAGAGGTCAGCACCAGGGTCAGCCCCAACAGCATTTTCCCCCTACCCCCTCACCTTCCTGCTGTCCTACTGTGTGTCTGTTCTGTGATGGGAACTGTGAGGGAGGTTGAGGATCAAGACATGCTTCCTGCCACTGAGGGGCTCACTTCTGTCTATTCTGTCAGCTGGGAAGCACTTGTTGAGCATCTCCTCTGAGTCAGGACTGCTAGATCATGGCTCCTATCCTCAGGCTGCAGACAGTGGAAAGTCCAAGGTGCAGCATCCCCAAGGCTATCAGCCTCTCAGAGGCCTCAGCAGATGAAGTTCAGGAGGTCCTGCTAGGTCCGTCTCCCCCCTACAGCTTCCTATCTGATCCCTCATACCACTATGGACCTCACCCCACCTCCTGGTATCATAATCAGAACACCAGGGAAAACATGGTGCCTGACCCCAGAGGTCCCTGCAGGCCAAGATGTGACATTGGCTAATGAAGCTAGAGCTTTCTGGAATCCAGGACATTGTACCTCTCTTGCCTTTTTCCCAGTGGATCTCCCTTCAACCCCTGCACCCAGTTGTTGTTGTTTTTTTTAAGTAGGCTCCATGCTGGACATGGAGCCCAATTCGGGGCTTGAACTCATGACCCTGAGATCAAGACCTGAGCTGAAATCAAAAGTTAGACACTTAACTGACTGAGCCACTCAGGCACCATCCCACCCCGACCACTTCTGTAGCTACTGTAAACTTATTATTATTTTTTAGGTTTATTTATTTATTTTGAGAGAGACAGAGACAGCATGAGTAGGGAAGGGGCAGAGAGAGGAGAAGACAGACAATCCTAAGCAGGCTCCACCCTGTCAGCATGGAACCCAATGTGGGGCTCAAACTCATGAAACCATGAGATCATGACCTGAGCTGAAACCAAGAGTCAGATGCTTAACTGACTGAGCCACCTAGGTGCCCCATAAACTTATTTCTTAAACAAACAAACAAAAAATGTATGTGGTCTAAGAGCACAAGAACTAAATATTTGAAATGAGGACCATAAAGGAAAATTCCAGCTGTGACATGTGCTAGCAGAACAACACTTCTTTCCTAGAGTATAAAGATCTAATTACCTATGTCTGGGCCCAGTGCAGTGCCAGCATACAGTAAGTGCTCAAAGAATGTATACTGAATAAGTGAATGAGTGTATGAATGGAAATTGAGGGGAGAGGAGAGGATGGAGAGCTGGGGTAGACTTTCCCCGAATACCATGTGTGCTCATGAATAGTGGTAGGTGCGCAAATAGTGGCAAACCCTCCTCCAGACTGCTTGTAATCATGGCTCTGCCCGCCATTTATCGCAGAGATTCATTCAATCATTCAACAAATGGATATTGTATGGTGACTCTGT